TTCTCTCAGAGTCTCAAGCAACCCGTTCCCTTTCCTGCTCAAAGGACGAAATTCTTGCCATAATAATGTGTAAATAGAATCAAAATTGTTGACTCTGGCCGGGCCAAGTTTACCCGAAAATTGAAAGGGGGCAGGGAGAACCAAGAAAAGAAGAGAAAGAGCCATTTGAGGAAAATGTTAAGACTACAATAAGTTAACGCACACTCCCCCACTGACTCCCCCTTGTGTGTCAGATCACCTTGCAACACGCACTGTACACAGTCAGACATAAAAAAGAAAATTCATTGACATGAAATTCGGGGGGCATTTTACGTGACAATGCCATGAAATCGAATTTGCCAAGCGACCGGAAATGCGCACAACTTTATGCGAGCATGTGTCTGTGTGTGTTGAGTTAGTGTGTGTGTGTTCCCAGACAGACAAAGAATAAGCTAGAAGAAGAACAGGATGGAGGCGGAGCTGCCACTGCTGTCGACATGTTTTCTGATTTATGCCGCACTTTCCATAAGTTTTTCCATGTTTTAGGCTCGAACCCGCCAATGTATTCAGCCATGAATTGCGTGAGCTGCCTGTTCAAGCTTATTTACTTTTTTGCCAGCTACCAGTTACCAGTTAGAGCTGTCAACTTGGCTATTCACTGGGCTTCTGGCCAGAAGGCTTCTCCTCCGAAGGATAAAAGTATTTTCGATTCAATTTTGTTACCCTCTTTGGCCACTCAGTAGACCATAAACGAAAGGATTTCATGTGGGCTTCATATTTTTCCCCGATTTTTTCCATTCATTTTATGGAATTTCAAACAGGTTTATTTCATTCTAAAAAAAAAAGTATCTCCAGGGGGTTTCAAAAATGAAAAATGTTAGAAAAGAGGTATTCTTTTTTGGTAAAAGTTTTCATTAAAAATTCATATTTGAATAGAAATATTTATACATATTGAAGTCATCATTTTTTAAAGCTTTCTTTTAAATGGGATCTCCACCATTAAGTCCTTGACTTGGCCAATTTAAATACTTTATTTTGGCAACACTAATGCCACATCCTCTATAGATACAAAAAAAAGGGCTGCAGGATCTTAAATCCAAAAACAAAGAAAACGACTCAGAAACAGAAACAGAAAACACAAACAGGCGACAAGTGGGGCCCCCGAATAAAAGACACACTTGGAATTGTTTTTGCATTTCTTTGGCTCCTTTCTCCGGCTGTATTGCTACCTGCTCTGCATAAATAAAATGCGGGCCCTGGCATGGCATGGCAGCAGCTGCTGGATGCTGGCTTCTGATTCTGCTGTTGCTTTTGAAAAGTGGGCAATGTGACGATGACCTTCAGGTAAGCAGAAAAGCTGAGAACAAAATTGTCAAAGAACACGAGCTGAAAATTAAAAGCCTCAGGCGCAAGGAGCACAAAGCAAGGACACAATTGGTTCTGCCTCGTCGAGCAGCAGGGATTCGTGGTTGAAAAGGGTTGCGAGTCAAGGGCCATCGAAACCCCACAGAATTGACTTCATCGACTGCACCCTCAAAAGCTTCCAGAGAGATGAGCAAAAGGATCTGTTAAGTGCTGAGGAACCATTGATATTGTTTGGTTCATAAATCAAAGCCACAATGTTTGCAGTAAACACATACAAGAAATTAAAAAACTACATAAGATAAAAAAAATAAAGGCTTCATGAATGCTTATATTGATTTGTATTTATGGTATTTTATTTATATATATTTATGTATATATTTTTCTCTTTATGTACAAATGCAAATTGCTTTCTCACTGCCTTAATGCGTCCGAGCACGTGGCTGATTACAGGAAGCAGTCCAAAATCGAACGTTGGCAATTTGGGGCCCATTTTCGTGTAGCCGGGGCCAACAGTTACAGCCCGAAATTGTTCAATTTTCACGCTGGACCAGTAACAGCATGGGCCCAAAAAAAAAAATTGGCATAAAAACAACATAGAAACCAACCGAATCAATTGTCCTGCGCGAGAATGGGAAGCAAACTTTCGGTAAATGGCAGCTCATTTTGTATTTATCAAAGGAGCCGATGGGGCTGAGGGACTGACAGAAGGAGCCAGGACGAAGAAGCCACGTCTGGCCTGATGGCGGCATAAACTTTTATTTCAATGAGAGTCATGAGCAATTCCACAGTTTTGTGCACACTGGTTAGTGATCTTAAAGTTCATCTCATCGCTTTTTCTTTTCAAAATATTACTCATCCGCCTGGTGGTCTATTATAAAGTTCTTTTTATAAATATTATCTTAAATAAACTACCAAATCAAGTCATGTTAAGCCTTTAAAACCTAAAACACCTCTAGCTTATGTTTCCCAAAAATATTACTCATACGCCTAGTGGTCAGTTGGTATATCCTTTCTATTGAAGCCATAAAACTAATACCATAAGCCCACTGTGCAGCGAAGCAGTCCCAGCTGTGCCGAAAAAAAATGGAGGAGAAGCAAGACACTAACACATTCGCATATTTTGCCTGCTCCGTCGCACTTTCTTGCCATTTCCGCTGTTGCACGAGACTCGGCGAAAGTTGTGTGGCATACTTTTCGGCAGCATTTCGCCTTGGCATACAAATGCAGGTAATAACGTCGCAGGAGGAGGAGGTGGTTCGGAGGAAGGAGGTGGCTTGGCATTTGCAAATGAAACGCGACTGTTCTAATTTTGGCCTGCCTGGAATTCCGTACGTTGTTTCTTTGTTTTCACTTAAATATTTATACAAAAAATGAGCAGCTAAGCGAGCACACACAATGACATACTTGCACGCACACACATACCATATGTATATGTATGTCTGTGTACAAACACAATGTGCAGCATCGGATTTATTATTAATGCTTCCATACGGTCCATGTTTGTTCCTCACAAAAATCTGCTGAGTGGGCTGGATTTTGCGACTTCTCCGTCCTCCTCTGGCTTGTTGTTGTTTTCGTCCGGTGCTTGCCCAGGGCCTTTATCCTTCCAGCCCCTTTGCGGCCGGGTTCTGGCCTGGTTTGTTCCGTTTTGCTTCGGCCTGTTGCGGCCATTGGCTTATTATCATTTATTTATTTATTTATGTCTGGAGCTTCAGTGGCAATATTTTATTTCCATTTCGGTTTGCGGATGCTGGGCCACTCGGATTTCGTTTGTGCAAATCATCGTGGGTCAAAGGTTAGGGCTATTTGACCACCGAGCCTGGCTCCATTAATAAGCCCAGCCAGGATATATAGAAATATCCAGTTGGTCCTGACAGCAAGATGTGGCGTTTATTGAATTGTGATGAAAATATATGGTGGAAAGTGATTTTCCTTCGAGGCCTTTTCCAGTATTACTTAATTATTAAAGATAAAAAATAAAGCTCTAGCTTTAATTCTTAAAGAATTTTTAAAACTTTCAACCGGCCAATTATTTATATTTCCGCCAATAAACCCAAAGAAAAGACACTCCTTCGATGAAATTAAATATTCAGGAGCTTTTTCCTGCCATCGATTCCATTTAATATGCAACTGGAATGACGGGTTGCACTTATTCCTGAAATATCATTATCCTTCTGTCCACTCTCCTTCTGCGGCAATTGAAAAAGTCAAACAGCAATTGTTGAAAGGTCCTGTCCGTCGCTGGGTTCGAGCTTGGTTAATATTTAACTCGATATCGATGGCATCGAGGCCCTGGACATTTCTTATTCAATGCAACTGAACCGGCCAACCCACACCCACACACGGCCATTTCCCGTTTCGTCCCCCTAATGGCAGCCATTTGACACTCAGGAGTCGGGGCGAAGCTCAATGGAAGAGTAATAGCCGGGCCAACACAAGAAGAAATTGTGTTTGCTTTCGGCCATTAATATGGCTGCCTATTCCCCAACCAATATCCGCACCCATACCCTCATGCCACTTCGATTTTACCCCAAAGGACATTCTGTTATTTGACAGTTTTGACGAAACGTTGCCCCAAAACGTCGGAAATTGGCTAATAATGGGGTTAATCGCCAATAATGATCGTTCCCAGACAAGGTAAATTGTCTGTTAAACAAGAATGCAGTACAGGCCCCGGGAATGGTCAGGTCTTGATGGGTTTTGAAGATGTTAGGAGACTGATTATTTCAGTTTCTATTCACAAAATGAATTTAAATCTTAAAAGTTTGTATTATAAACCCTTACAAGCCCATTAAAGTTAATTTTAAGCTTTGTGATTAAATTTTTAGCAAAGTAAATATTTACAAACGGTCATCACCTGGTTCTGGCTTAACCTTTTTTGGTTCTACCTGATGACCACGTCTGTGGTCAGCACTTGGTCGGGCCATATAATTTTCACATCGTTGAGAACGATGTTGGCCCGGCGAGGCGAGGCAAGGCGCTCATTAAGCTTAATTCGTTAGAAATCAAATATTTAAGAGATAACCCAGATTGACGGCGAGCACGTGTCTGTGTGCGTGAGCGGATGGAGGCAAGGCTGATGGAAATTGACACTCCTGGCACCTTACAATGTGTGTGTGCCACAAAGGATGCCACCGAAAGGAGAACCCCTTTTTCCCCGCTTTCCTGCGCCGTTGTCCTAACGAGCAATTTAACCAACTCATTGAAGCGGAATTAATGGCAATCGATTTTGTTTGGCGGCCAACAGACAGTACCATGCAGGATAAACGGGTCTTTATTAGTGGATGGACAGTATCAGGATGCTTAGAACTGAAAGACTCTAAAGTATAGCCAGATTCAACTTGAACATAATCCACTTTTCACCCCATTTCTGGATCCCGAAACTTGCCAGAAACATTTCCCACCAAATGTTTCAATCAACAACTCAGTCAAATTTTAACACTTGCTGACTTGTCCAACTTATGTGCCCCTCCCCTCCTGCCGATTTCATATAGTATTTTGTGTATATATGTTGGGACTTATCCCTCGCCAGATCATCGTAGAGGATGAAAGTTTTGTGGGCTCGTGTGGGTTGCTTTTTTATTACGTTGGGGGGTTATGCAAAAAGTTTCCCTCGCATAAATACAATTTTTGCTCTTTTCAATTTTTATTTGCAGTTGAATCGAGAAGGATAAACTTTCGGACCGCTATGCACAGGACCCGTGCGGGTCCGCCGACTGAGTGCGGCCACAGATAGAAACCAACGAGGTACACACAGAGATACCATCGCCAGATATACAGATACAGATACAGATACAAGCCCCATTCACACAAATATCTAGTGGATTTGAACATGTGCCAAAAGTGCGGGCTGCTTGTAGCTGATTCTGGTAAAACCGCGACGGGGGCGACGATGCTGCTTGATTTTGGCCAAGTTAAATAAACAAGCCAATCCACAGCGCACACACCCACACCCACACCCACACTCTCCCCACACACGCCACACTTTCACATAGATACTCAATACCAATACAAATAGCACACTCAATCACAAACACAAAAACAAATAGGTTCCGGGGGAAAAGGATATTCGAAATGGCCGCTCCCATCGACGAGAGTGTGCTGAATGCACTGAGGGGCGTCACCTCCGCCCAGACCCGGCTGCCCAAGCCGCTCCTCATCAAGATCTATGTGGCCAGCCTGAAGCACGAGTTCAACCAGGAGCGCCGCATGCTCCTCGAGCTGGTGGGTCCGGAGCTGCAGACCCTCTACGATGATCGTCAAATCGAGGTGAGTACCGGGTATCTTATTGTAGAGATGGTAAACTACCTCATCTTTCTACCAGCTGGAATTCGTTGACATGCACTTTGGCACTGGCTGCCTGGAGGTGAATCAGCTGGAGCGGGATCCCTACATGATTCATGACTATCTCCACGAGATTGACATCTGCCACGCCCACACGAAGAGTGTGTTCTTTATGGTTCTCGTGGGCGATGGAATCGGTCGCCTGCCTCTGCCAACGCACTTGGACGAGGACATCTTTGCCGCCATCCTGGCAGATCCCCAGACAACAGCGGATCTCGAAGCCCTCTTGGTGAAGTGGTATGAAAAGGATGCCACGGAAACCAAAAGGCAGCTCAAGCAGGACTATCGGTAAGAAGACTGAATATCTGAAATACATATATATCGTATATGTTTGGGAATCCCTCTTGTCAACAAAATGTAATAAATTGCCTGACCTTTTAACCCACTAAAATTTAAATACCGGAAAAGTTAGAGCTATGCAAATGTCAAATAAAAATTTGCTACCATTTGTTAGAATAGTTTTCCCCGCCATTGTTGGCCAAGTTATCCGAAATTCAAACTGAAACCGAAATAGTTATGATGGCGTTTGCCGAACAAAGTTGCACAATATTTGACAAAGTTCCATTTCCGTTCCATTGTTCGATGTTTGGCTGAAATTATCCATGTGCCACTTTTGCTTTGTTTGGCAACTCGATTGGAGCTGAACTTTTGGCAAATATTTCGGGGGAGCAGGATGGGCTTTCGCAGGACTCGACAGAGTAAATATGGAAATTTTGAATTCGTTTTGTAGACTGCTTCCCGCGGATTCTTGGCTAAATGAATCGCAGCAAATTCAAAATTTATTGGAGCGAGTTTTGCAATCAATGGTCCAGGCCAGTGCAGGACATGCTGCCGAGTATGTGCAAAGGATTCAAGAACTGCGACGCACTCAGATTGAAAGGGAAGTGAAACAGGCCATGGGTAAGTAGGATTTCAATAGCGAAATACATAACATTTTAATCCTCTTATTTTTAGCCCTATCCAGTGAGAAAATCCTGGCAGTTTTTCGCGAACGAGCAGCCCAAAGCAGCAAAAAGGATGTGGAGGCCAGCGAGCGTCTGCGAAAAATCAAGGACGAACTCACCATGAACCTATCCACAGATAATCACACGACACTGGTGTAAGTATATCCCTCTATTTGAGTTTAACATTTCTTAATTAAGATTATTGTTGCAGGGTACCTGGGAGTGCTGCCAGCGAGGCAATTGATCCGGATAATGAGGACCACGAGTCGTATCTGAGCAAATTCAAGAACAAGGTCACCGACAAGCTGCGCCTCCTAATCGAGGCCCACATAACCAATGATCCCGACGTAATCAAGGGGAGGAAAAAGACTGTGCAGGTAAGCCACAATGTCGGCCAAAAGGTGAAACCATTAACACAACAGACAGCCTACAAAGTGCTTTGGGCCGTGAATTAAATTAAATGTATTATTCCCCTCTAACCTGGGTGGGGGTGTGAGTGCCGCCCCCACCGAAAACCACTGACCGCTTATTTAATCAACAGCAATTCTGATTGTTATTCGGCCTAAGGGGGCCAAGAGTCATAAATTAATTCCAAGAATTACAAAGGGACACACGGACAAAGGCAAGGAAACAGGCATTTATGATTCTGCGTTTTTATTTCTTTGTTTGAGGTCTTCTTTCTTTATTGTTGGTCAGGTCTTAAGGCTCTTTGAAAGTGACTTTATGCTTTATGTAGTTTTAAAAAATTATATAAAAATATGTAAGCCAGAAAATGCAAATAACCTTTTTACAGATTCTCTCAGATGCTCAGCTACAGATTACAGGAATAAATCGAAATCGGCACGTATCCTTGATATCCTGTTTGGACTAGGAATTCGAGAGGATGTGCCGCCAATATATATACACGCTTTGCATATGACAGTTGTCGAAATTGAGTTTGAAAGCGATTTCCGGCAATAAAAACCAATTGCAATCGAGTTTCCCCCCCGAAAAAAGTGGCAAACTGGCTGAAGAAATCGTTTAGCCCAAGGTTTCTGCATTTCTCAGCTTCCGTTCCAGTTGCGGTTTATTTTTTCTGCATTTTCCTGGTCTGGTTCTGCCTCTAGCTCTGCCCCCGCGTTGCATAAGTTCACTTGGCGGCACTTGGCCTCGCCTCCTTGTTGGCTTTTGTTGAAAGCATTTAACATTTCAGCTTGGTCGCAGCCGAAGGACGAGGCGTAATGCGAACTGGTCGCTGCCATTAGTGGACAAATCCTAGAAGTACACTGAAAAGTTTTAATATAATTTCCCAAAAATGAGGTTTTTAAATGCAGTGTTTAAGCTTGGCCAACAGTGCGTATGAGTGATGTATTTTGAAGTATTTCTTGAAGCTGATTACTGATTGTTTTTTTTTAAGTGCATCCAGCTTCTGGCCACCCCCCTCCGCACCGCCTCTGACATATTAACACACTTACACTTGGGCACAATGTAGCCACGCCCAGGTAGTCCCTTGTTTGCACTTAACGATGCAGCAACGTAAACTGCATTCAGACCAGGCTAGTACCCTTACACCTTGCTGCTGCTCCTGCCCCCCGACCTCGTCCCGTCTTGCGGATAAAAATGTTGCAAAGGTAAATCCAACACAGACGCCTCGCTTTGACAAAATGTTGTGGCATTCGTTGCCGCAACCGAGAAATATGCAAAATGTGCTGCCAGTAAGCTGCACCTGCGGCAGGTGCACCGCCCTTGTGCGGCGCCTTTCGCCACTTCAGAGTGAAATGAAATTAAAGCAAGTCAAATGCCGGCTAATTAAGCGGCTGCTGAAGGAGCCTTAAAGTGTGGTAAAGTGGCCGAAAGGCTTCGGGCCATATCGATTTGGCCCTCAAGGCCTTCCAGTCAAGTCGAGATCAGAAAATGCATTACACAGGAGCTGTCAAATGGGATCTAGAAAGCCAAAAGCGGATTACATCCACAAAATGACATGAGAGACTTCATCGCGGACTCAGACCTAGATTTTGAATTGAAATCTGACTTAGTTAGAGCATGAGGTTGTGCCAAGGACTGCGGGAGGAGTACTTGTTAGTGGGGAAGCTGCCACAACCAGACAAGGTAAAGAGTGCACTGCAAGAAAATAAGGAAACAAGTTCTAGAAAATAAGGAAATTCTGGGAAGAAGTCTTATAACTTTAAAATTCCTAAAACTCATTTTCTTTAGAAATAACCTTAATTTTTTTTCTATGCATATATAATATATATATAACCTCCGACCCCTGGGCAACCCAGCAGGTGGGCAAAGGTAACGGCAAAGGTAAACAAAGTTACGAGACAAACACGCTGAATGCCACTCACTCACTTTCAGACTTAGGGGGAATGGGAATGAAAATGGGAATGGATATGGGTGATGGGTGATGGGTGACGGTGATGGGGATGACGATGATGACGTGGACTTGTTCCTGGGGCTGAAGCAGACAAGAAAAAGAGAATACGGCAGCGGTAGGTGACACTTTGGAATACGCACATATATGTACATACATATATTTACCATCTAGCAGATATACCGACATCCTGATAGCCGAGGTGTAAGCCAAAGAGCTCTTAGAGGTCACACACAGTAGCAGCATCTGGTCCGAGATGAATGACTGAAGGAGGCCGATGGAAGTGACACCCGGGGTGGCACAGTATTAAGTGTAGATGTGGTTGCCACTGGCAGGTGGCAGGTGGCAGACGGCAGATGCTTGTTGGCTGGCAAATCCAATTACTGACAAACCAAAGCAGGAACTGGTTAAAAGCCTTCAAAAAATACATTTCTATGCAAATTATTTTCATACACGTTATATGATATATGCGTGCAATAAAAAATAATTACAATCCGCAGGACACAAAACAGCATAAATATGCACCAGCTGATGACCTTGTTTGGAAACTGAAGTTGTTAGACATGTCACGTCACTTTAATTGTGCTTTAAATATTAAATACAATTTGTACAGCCCTTTAAGCACTTAATTTATCATATAACTGATTTAATCGATACACGAAACTGGCTAAAAAAGAGTCAGCTGAAATGAATATTTATTTAATTTAATGTCCGACGCACATACGGTTGTAATTTATATCTGCAGAACGCATTAATTAGTAGACAGTCGGCCTAATTGGACGTTGGATTATTGGGCATTGAATTAAATACTCATTTTTCACACTTAAGTGATGACAGGATCAAAGGCGAAAACTTTATTTGTTTTAATTACTACTGGTTATTGAAATTATTAAAGTGTTGTACAGTCTCTCTACTTAAAGTTTCATGTCGTCTATGAAAAAATAAAGGGATTTGTAAGAAGCATCAGGAAGTCTTATCCTTATATACACGATTTCTCATAAATTAAATAGCGGAAATAAACTACAAAGTAATGTATTAATCAAACCCAGAAGCGACTTATTGGAATATATCCGATCGGAATATAAAGTACCATTTTGAAATCAGTTAACCCAAAAGCTACATTACATTCCTACATTCCTTTTTGAATTTTTCGATTTTTTCCTAAGGGTACCCTCATAAAATTTTGGGTTTTTCCAATATCCCCACTTTTGCCCCGTCTCATGGCCATAGCCTTGTCAATTTGTATCCGATCGGGAAATAAAGTACCATTTTGAAATCAGTGAACATAGAAGCGACTTTCCTCATTCAAAACATTGCCCAAATATAGTTTTTGAATTTTTCGATTTTTTCCTAGGGGTACCCTCATAAAATTTTGGATTTTTTCAATATCCCCACTTTTGCCCCTTCTGATGCCCATAGCCTTGTCAATTTGTATCCGATCGGGAAACAAAGTACCATTTTGAAATCAGCGAACACAGAAGCGACTTTCCTCATTCAAAACATTGCCCAAATATAGTTTTTGAATTTTTCGAATTTTTCCTAGGGGTACCCTCATAAAATTTTGGATTTTTTCAATATCCCCACTTTTGCCCCTTGGCCATAGCTCTGTCAATTTGTATCCGATCGGGAAACAAAGTACCATTTTGAAATCAGCGAACACAGAAGCGACTTTCCTCATTCAAAACATTGCCCAAATATAGTTTTTGAATTTTTCGAATTTTTCCTAGGGGTACCCTCATAAAATTTTGGATTTTTTCAATATCCCCACTTTTGCCCCTTGGCCATAGCTCTGTCAATTTGTATCCGATCGGGAAACAAAGTACCATTTTGAAATCAGCGAACACAGAAGCGACTTTCCTCATTCAAAACATTGCCCAAATATAGTTTTGAAATTTTTCGAATTTTTCCTAGGGGTACCCTCATAAAATTTTGGATTTTTTCAATATCCCCACTTTTGCCCCTTCTGATGCCCATAGCCTTGTCAATTTGTATCCGATCGGGAAACAAAGTACCATTTTGAAATCAGCGAACACAGAAGCGACTTTCCTCATTCAAAACATTGCCCAAATAAAGTTTTTGAATTTTTCGAATTTTTCCTAGGGGTACCCTCATAAAATTTTGGATTTTTTCAATATCCCCACTTTTGCCCCTTCTGATGCCCATAGCCTTGTCAATTTGTATCCGATCGGGAAACAAAGTACCATTTTGAAATCAGCGAACATAGAAGCGACTTTCCTTATTCAAAACATCACCGAAATGTAGTTTTTGAATTTTTCGAATTTTTCCTAGGGGTACCCTCATAAAATTTTGGATTTTTTCAATATCCCCACTTTTGCCCCTTCTGATGCCCATAGCCTTGTCAATTTGTATCCGATCGGGAAACAAAGTACCATTTTGAAATCAGCGAACACAGAAGCGACTTTCCTCATTCAAAACATTGCCCAAATAAAGTTTTTGAATTTTTCGAATTTTTCCTAGGGGTACCCTCATAAAATTTTGGATTTTTTCAATATCCCCACTTTTGCCCCTTCTGATGCCCATAGCCTTGTCAATTTGTATCCGATCGGGAAACAAAGTACCATTTTGAAATCAGCGAACACAGAAGCGACTTTCCTCATTCAAAACATTGCCCAAATAAAGTTTTTGAATTTTTCGAATTTTTCCTAGGGGTACCCTTACAAAATTGTGGTTTTTTTGGCCATAGCTCTGCCATCGAATATATCTAAAATCTACCTATATTTTTTTCCATTTCAGGAAATCTTTCACGAGCATGCTACTCACCTGCGCATCCTGCGGGAGCACACGGAAAACGCCGCCTTGCTGGAGTCGCGAGTGCCACAGCAACTCCGACAGAATCTTATGGCCAACTTCCGGAACGGTAGCCGCCATGCCCCGTACTTCGTCTGTGGATCAGACGGCAGTGGCAAGAGTGCCATTATCAGCCAGCTGTACGGCCAGGTTAGCAGCTGGTTCGGGGCATCCACACGCGTCCATCGGATGATACGATTCGCGAAGGCCTCGCCGAGATCCGCCTATAATCTGGAACTGCTACGAGTGGTCTGTCAGCAGATCTCCATCATTTTCAACATCCCGGAGGGCTACCTGCCCAAGGATGCCTCTTTCGATCCGTTGTACATCAACACCTGGTTCCAGAACCTCTTGCGGCGCATCGAGGACATGGGCAACGACGTGCTCTTCCTTTTCATCGACGACCTGCATCTGCTCAACCCGCTGGACTGCGACATTGTGACAGCTCTGTCCTGGCTGCCCACGTCCCTGCCCTGGAACGTCCAGATCATCTGCAGCTCCACCACGCCCGTCGAGCAGCTCAAGTTCACGCCCATGCAGCGGGACCGCTTCAAGTCCGGGGAATACCAGTTCGACATCAATCGAGGAGACTTCTCCAGCCGCCTCAAGATTCCGCCCCAATGCATTCCCGGGGAGGTGAGCTTCAGCCTGTACGTGGAGCAGCAATTCGACCACCTGGAGCGGCACTACGGACGCCAAGCCGTGGGCAGTCTGGCGGCGTACATCACCTGCTCCGAGTATGGTCTTACCGAGACCGAGCTCCTGGAGCTGCTCATGCCCACCGACGACCCGGAGACGCTCATCGAAACCAAGGCAGGGCACTTCAGCTTTGCCACTTTTAAGAAAATCCATCGCGAAATGGGTAAGTGGGTGGAGAAGTCCTAAGTAAGTTTTATTTTGAGTGTATTGTTTTTAGATGTATTACTCCTGCTGCACGACAAGATCATGTCGGGCAAGGTGCTGATTCAGTGGCGCCACAACTACTGTGCCACGGTAGCCAAGCGGCGCTACATGGACACCCAGAGGACGCGGAGCTTGCATAGCGAGCTGGCCAACTTGTTTTTCCCGCAGGACGAGGACGAAAGCACCCTGGAGAACGAGTCGAAGTGCAGCGAGACCAAGTCGGTGATCAGCATGTGGGAGAAGGACTCCCTGTCGGCCGTATCGGCGACATCCACAGGTCGCAAGTCCTCATCCACGCACCACAATGACGACACTTCCACGTTCTACAATCCCATTGCCGCGGACGTGAGCTATAGCATGCGGCATGTGGAGGAGAGCTGGCATCACCTGATGAGATCCGATGACACCACCCGGTTCAAGCAGATCGCTGTCTGCAATTTTGACTTCCTGCTGGCGGCGGTAAGTTTTCCGGCTCAAAGGCTTCACCCATTTCCCAATTAGTTTCAGAGTCAGAGGCAGGCATAGAGTGATGGCTAAATTCATTTTCGAGCTGGAAATGCAATCAGTTTTGGCCATGAGCCGCTCTTAATTGCCTGGCTAATTTGGAAATCAAACTGACAACTGCTTTCCGTTGGCAGTCGTGCCAAAAATATGAAAATGGTAGATTTTGTTTGGTTCGCCAGGGAACTAAATTATAATTTCATTATTTGTTATGGCTTGTGTAGGGGATACTGGTGTTTGTTTATCGTAAATATTTCTAGCATAAACATTAAAATTGAAAAACCTATAAGCCTGCAGTCTACAAGCCATTGTTTGGCCAAAAACTGGCTCTATTTGAACAGATATTTAATTTGAAATCGAGCTTCATTGCAGGTTCATGAACGTATAATGTGATAATCAAATTAGAGCCAGTATATCGTGTATTTGAAAATGCAAAAAATTCAAGCAAAGCAACGGGCAGCTGTCGATTCTATCCATTTCCTCGTCTAATTGTTACGAGCGATGCAACGCTTTTGTAGTCAGGACCTCATCCTGCAATGCCACGCCTTCCTCCTCCCTATCCCTCTCCCCATCTTGCTCATTTAATTTCATTTCATTCCGTTTCATTCGCTCATTCGTGCAGTCGGGAAAACTCATTATTTGGCTCTGGAAAGTATGCAATTAAATTTTTGTGACTCTCCGAGGATGTTTTATGCTTGTATGTGTGTGCCTCTACTATATGCAAGAGTGTGTGAGCCAATCGAATTAACGGTTTTTGTTGTTGCTGCTACATTGCACAAAATACTGTTGCCGTTTTATTCCTCAGCGAAATGAGTTTTCTGATGAATTTTTTACTGCCAATATTTGCATTCCTCATGGCCGCAACAGGACTGCGGCGCTTTGGGTGGAAAGTTTGGTCAACAAACATAATATAAACATGAATAATTTGGATTCTAATTAACACACCCCAGTTCAATCCAGTTATAAGAACATAAAATCGATTTGGCTTTAAACTCTTTCCATTAAACTTAAGCTTCCAAGATGCAGTCTCCAATAATAGGATTGTTTTCTTATCTTGGAGGAGGAAAGCCTGACACCCTGCCATCCTGATAAGCAGACTTAAAGTCTGACGTTTAATTTAATTAACTTGGCTTTGTTGTCACTTACAGTCCCAAAATAAACATTAGATTCGAAGGCAGCCTTTTAATCAATTGCTAATATATACATTTCGGTATTTGTGTCAAGATTTAATTAGCTTCTCTGAGGGGGTTCATTGTTCAAGGACATTTCTAGTCCTGATTATAAGAGCTCCAGATCATGACCTTTTCCCAATTTCCAGGTACAAACAGTATCCATTAGCTACTTGCGCTGCTTAATCGAGCACGTTCGCTGCTATATCCTGGACAGGGACATCGAGCTGATCTACTACACGATTAGAAAGTCCAGTGATGTCCTTACCCGAGATCCCATGCAACTGGGCTCCCAGCTGATATCCTGGCTGCGTCCGATCGGCGAACACGACGACGACGACAACTCCCTGCTGAGCATGACGGTCCGCTCGGCCACCGCCTGGTGCGACGGGTATGCGGTTCCGTTACTGGTGCCCCTCACCGGCTGGCTGCCCGTGCCGCTGCCCTCGCAGATCCGCACCATGACCGTCACCGGCACGGGCGTCATTCGGGCCGTTTGCCTGGCCCCCTCGAAACAGCATCTCATCCTGGCCACCAACTCCGGCGACGTGCAACAGTGGCACATTATGAGCAATTCGCTGGAGCACACATTCAAGGGTAAGTTCGGGGACTGGGCGACTGGGTGGTGTGGTGTAATGTCCTGCCATTAAGTCAGCTAATCGTGCTTTGTTACCATCTCACTTTCTCTCTTGCGCTTTTGGAACATTTCCATTTGCGGTAAAGGACACACTGCGGCAGTCACGTGCCTGCTGGTGGCGCCGCAGCCGGAGCAGGAGTTGTTGCTGACCGGCTCCGAGGATAACAGCGTACTCGTGTGGCACGTCTCACTCCGCGAGCGTCTGGGTCACATTAAGTGAGTACACTTGGCGAAAACATATGTAGTTACATTTTTAAGCTATGAGTTCATGATTTTCAACCATTAAGGCCATTAATTCGTAGGAGTTTTTTTTTATTGTACGAAAGGATAATAAAATAGTAATTATGTCCTTTTTTTTGCTGTGTCTGGTACTCCCATCTCTTCATTATTCCTATTTTTTCAACGCTCTCCGCCTTGAGCGTAATTTGTAAATCTCTGCTGGCACAATTTATCTAAACATCCTTCTCGACTCCTTGCTCCATTTCAGCGCCCACACAGCTCCCATTACAGGCGTGGCAGCTGGCGTCAATAACACACTCATCATAAGCAGCAGCGAGGATGCAACAATTGCCATCACAGACCTGGCCAGCGGAAAATTGGTAAGATTTAAGAATCCATTAAAGTCGGTAATACTTCCCACAAATACTTCAACAAGTACCTTTTCATTTAATCCATTTTTCTATGGAAATTTTGATGGCGTTGAGGGAGAGAGTTTCCATGCTCCGTTTGGGGAATGAAAAATGCATTTGAGGAAGCTAATTGCAAAGCCCCGCCACAAAACCAGATCAAACAGACCAAAATGCATTTGCATAATTTCTCAGAGCCCGAATAACCCGAATATTTACCATCCATCCAACCTATCAGACAACCCACCCACCCAGCCAGGCTGCCCGGCCAAATACTTTCATCAAACAGGAGGCAAGGTCATCGCGGGTATGGTTTAGGTGGTGAGTGGTAGATGGTGGATGGTCGGGGTTCTGCGGGTTTCTGCCATCTGGCCGACATGTGTGCCTTGCTTGTTGAACATGGCTTTTAGCATAAGAGCATAAGGGGGGGGTTGAGAGGTTGAGGGTTTGTGGGGCAGGATGGGTTTTTGGGCCAGGATGGTGGGACAAGAGGGCGCACACATTTCGCGGCTGTTTTCGCGTCTCATGGATGGCAAATGAAGCGTGGCTGGAGGATGTCGAGGTCCCTGCCGGAACCCTGTCCTACTTTTTAGCTTCCGTCCTCCGTTACAAGTCACACTAAGTTGATATTTCAGAGACGCACACATTAAACTGTGATTACCCACAATGTGAAATGTTTGCATATTAAATACTATAGAGGTCACAATAATAGCACTAAAGAGTTGGCAATTTTTGTCTAATTTATTAAAATAGAGCCAAATAATCCTAGAAGACTTTAAAGAGTCTATAAATAATAGAAGCATACTCTTCATAAATAACTAAAATTTTGCTTATACTGTGAGTTTATATACCGTGTCCTGGTTCTTGTCCCCATCATCGCCATCTTCATCCTGCTGACACACATATAGAAATTAGATTTATTGCCACTTGGTTGCCCTCGGGCATATTTTAAAGTCAATTTCGCTGACTTGGCTGCGGCACGCCCCCCAAAAAACATAAAATAAAAACTGGGTAGCAGTAGAAACTTCCGCGAATCAAGACATTACTTGCAACATACACACACTGACACTTTCGGCCTGGATGTGGCACAGTTTCCATCTCGCCCTGGCCCCATCACACACCTGCAATTACGAGCTGTTATTGAATTAATTACAATATTACGTATACGCCGCGTCATGCCGGCACTTCCTTTCATGTCGTCGCTGTTTTTTTTTTAAAGTCCGTGCGGCAATTTATCAAAGTTTTGGCATTTCTCGGCATGGCAGCATGGCGGCATGGCTTTTGGCGGCAACTTTGCATGCTAGGTGGTAATTAACTTAATGCATACAGAATGTGGCACGGTGCGGGAGACAAACAAAAGGCCAGACGAGAACAAAATTGACGGCCAAGGCACATGTGTCACGCCATCCGGTTGGAACTAAAGCTATGTAATGTCCTTTTCATTCCCTTTCCATTCCAAATGATTAATATTTAATGTACCTTCGATTGGTATTGTTGATAATAGAAACACCTGGCCATCTAATGTTGCTTTCCCCAACAAAGCCAATAAATTATAACAAATATTTTTGTGTGTTTGCAGAGACATCGCATAACGTACCATCGTGGTCCTGTGACTGGCATCCTGGTGGCCGGAGCCTGTGATGTCCTCATCTCGGGCAGTCACGACAGGAGCATTTGTGTCTGGAACCTGGAGAACTTTAGCCTTCTGAACACCATGCATATGTCGAGTCCTGTGCTTCGCATTGACATTTCCTGGAATTCGGTGAGTTTTTGTACCCTTGCAGAGAGCTTTATAATTTTAAAGGTTTTTATATTATTCATCGGAAAAAAGGGATTAAATTTTTAAGAAAAATGTAGGATGTGGCAAGTGCATCTCACACACTTGCTGTCCGCGTTTGTGTGTGTCTGGCTTTTCAAACGAAACAAACTTCTCTCAAAGACAAAAGTTGAGTCCTTTAGGGGATTTCCCCAAGCTCATCGTGCTCGGCTAAAAAGCTTTAAAGAAAATTCCTGCGCCAAACACACACTCACACACACCACCACATAAATAGGAAAAATATAAGAAATAAAAAAGAAAGCAAATGGGATGAAGATGGAGGGAAATGCTTTAAGGATATTCCACTTGAGTGAAGCATGCCAAGTAAACCAATAACGAAAAGCGCAATTTAAGGGAACATGAACACAGACAGTTCTGCAAAAAAAAGGGGCCGGAAAGTGAAAGATTCCGACTTGAAGTGGAACAGTTTTTAAAGCCAAAACAAACGCACAATAGATGCGCTTGGCGATATGAAAATCCAGGACGCACCAGGACGAAATTCTAATAAGTGATTCCGAGCTTGGGGACGGGCATTACGCGCCAAATCCTTTGTTGTCAATCAGCTTGACAAAAAACCAGAAGCTATTACATGCCATGAGTGTGTGCTAGTATCCTACTGTGTGTGTGTGTGTAAGGATCCGTGCCTGCCTCTATCAATAAGTATTGCATACTTAGCAGCAATTTGGCACGCAAAATAATATGAAGATAGCGACATCCCGGGACCCACCAGCTCCCAGCCATCCAACTCCCATCTCCCGTCGCCCTATTATTGTTGTCGTCCTTTGTCAATGGCAACAGTGTTTTGTATCCCCTCCTCACCCATCCCAGATGAGCGAGTCTCATCGGAGGACTCTGGCAATTGATGCGTGCTTCCACTCGTCTCGTGCTCCTTAAGTCCTGGCTCCTCATCTATCCGGCTCGCTTTGGCAAATCCGCAATAGACAGACATCAGGAAGAGCCCACTGTAATTCAAGGTGTGCCATGGCAGCTGCCACTGGAGCCGACGGCCAGGCTCCAGGCTCAAGGAGCACTCCTCGCCTAACACATGCCATTCAGTACACTTCTAGGAATACCTACAAAAAAATTCCTAAAGCTTTATATATACTCCTACTCCCAACATTAAAAAGAAGTACCCTATTTATAGAAATTTTATAAATATTTTAAAGGTAAAGCTCCCACATTTTTCTCCAAGTGTTCCCCAAGTCTCTCATTTCAAACAGAAACTGAAAAGCTAGACCAGACAAGGCATTCAGTTACCGTTGTCCTTCGAGGACTCCTTCACATCGGCAACTCTCCTGATGTGTCCTCCCGATGTGCCGCAACCGAAAATAATAAAATACAATTTCACACATTAAACAAAAGTGCTGGCGAAAATTGAAGAAAAATTGCCTATAAGCTGGCGGAAAAATTGGTTCGCGATAACAAGGACATCGTCGTTGCGGCGGAGACAATTCCGAGATGCCGCCAACAACAAATTTCCCTTCCACAAATTGAAATGTAATTTCACACAGCCATGAATACATATAGGAAACACTTCGGCCCGGGCCGAGTAGCAGCCCCTTGGGCAGGACTCTTAGCCCAGGCGAGAATGGCAAAAGGAAATCAACTTTCTTACACTTTGGCCTGCATCCTTGGCCCAGTCCCAGCCACGCCCCAAAGTGCCCTCTTCCCGTGGGCGTTGACCTTTCGGATTGAAATGGCAGTGGTGGAATGCAATTTAATAATATTACGATTCGGTTTTGGTCAGGAAATTGTTTCCAATGCCGGGATATTTGGTCATTATCAGGGATTAGAAAGTTAACAAAATCCTTAAACCCATTAAAAAATATATTAATTTCCCTTGCAGGTCTTCCTTTTGGCCTTGTGCGAGGATAATGCCCTTTATGTTCGCACACTGGCAACCGGCAAGGAGCTGCACACCCTGAAAGGACACAAGTCAAAGGTGACTCGAGAGGGAACCCTTTCAGCGAAATCCATGAACTTTAAGATTATTGTGTTTCCATAGATTCGAACCATTTCGATTGGCAAGGACAGCCAGCGGTGTGTGGTGGGCTGCGAGGATACCCGGGCACTTATCTACGACATGCACTCCGGGAAATTGGTGCGATCCATGCCGCCTAATCCCGGACCGGTGACCGCCGTCCATGCCATGGACAACGATGACTTCCTGGTCACGGTGGGTGGCAACAAGATTACCTTTTACTCGTTCCGCAACGAGGAGCTCTACTTGAATCCCTACTCGCGGCATCCGAAGCGGAAGCGCAGCTTGAAGAGGCACGCCCAGGCTCAGAGGTCTCCCTCGACGACCCTGCCGCCCATCACCTGCTTTGACTTGTCGCGGGACTCCCAGCAAATGGCCATCGCCTCCGGCCGGAGTGTCCACTTGATGAGAATCAATACACCAGAGTACCAGTGCACCCTGGAAGGCCACACGGCCGGCGTGTCCTGCCTGAAGTTCGCCCCCAATGGGGAGTTCCTGGCCACCGGCTCCGAGGATCGACTGGTGCTCATCTGGAACATGGCCTTGGGCGAGATCAGCAATACGTTCAAAGGACACGTTGCCCCGGTGGTCAAGGTAGTGGTCCTGATGGACTCCCTGCGTGTGATCTCCACGGATCGCGACTCCCTGCTGCTGGTGTGGATGGCCCATTCCGGAAACCTGCTGCAGACCATCCAGGGTCCCTACAAAAACCTGGCCGTCACTAACAACATGCGCTTCGCCGCCTCCACCAACGGGGACAACACTCTCAAGATCTGGTCTCTGACCCAGGAGGACGAGAAGTACTCCGTCTCGCATTCGGACGAGATCACCTGCTTCGAGATCAGTGCGGATAGTGCCCACATCATCACGGGATCTAGGGATATGTCCCTGAAAGTGTGGCAGGCAACGGGCGGCAAGCTCAGCCAGGTACTGGTGGGCCACAGCGATGCAGTGACCTGCGTGGCCGTCTCGGTGTCTAACAAAACTCAGGTCCTGTCTGGCTCGAAGGACACGAATCTCATTCTCTGGGATCTGCTAACCGGCGAAGAGGTTCACACCCTGGCCGGGCATTTGGGACCGGTTATTGGAGTCAAGGTCTCGGCGGATGGTAAGCTCCATCTATCACAAAGTAGGTCCCTTGTTTAGTTTTCTAATTTAAAGGATCCACGGCCGTTTCTGGCAGCGACGACAAGACCCTGATAGTTTGGGAAACAAAGCGGGGCCTGGCCCTGACCTCCCTGCAGATGCATGTGCCCTTCACCCACTTCGACATCAGCCTGGAAGTATCCCGGGTCCTGGTCCAGCTGGTGGACAGCTACAATCTTCCCGTGATCTGTTTGCACAACACTCCGGCGCAGTACGTTAAGCTGCCAACATACTCGGGTCCCAGCAAGGATATAGAGGGTAGGTTTCAAAGGAAATCGGATTAACCTTTCTCTATATTACGAATATATCTTACAGATCTGCGACCTCAGGGTCCCAAGCGGCAAATGAAGAGGCTCCTGAAGAAGGAGGTCTCTTTGGACACGTACACCTGGCAGAAGAAGTACGGCCACCTAACCTCCTCGGTGATGATGGCCCAGGTGGATGAGCGGCTGAAGCGGCGATTCAGTGTTTCGGCCAGCATGGAGGAGATCTCGAAGATAGCCGAGACCAAGACGGGAGCCTCGCAGGCCAATCTGGGCCCGGAGCAGGCGGCGCTGGCCCAGTCGCAGCACTTTGACCAGCTGGAGGCGCTCTGGAACAAGAGATCTCCGCCCCGGAGACGTCACAATGCGGTAAGTGTCAGGACCTTCTCCGTATCCACTTCTCCCGCTCTCTCTCTTGCTCTCTCTGCCTATCTCTCTCTCTAACAAGGAGTCGAGAGAGATAAAGGATATGGAGAAAGGACCTTAGATGAAGTTCGCTTTCGTGTTCGTTGCCACTAGTGACGTAATGATTTGAAATTCGTAGTAGATGCGCTCACCATTTCGTTTTATTTTCGTTTCATTACCGTCTTCTTTCTTTTCATTTTCGCTTCGTCTCTGTTTGCTTATACACCAATTTGCAACGTGCAATATGCAACATGCCACCTGTGCAATGTGCAATTTGAAATCTGAACCCTGACACCGTAAAGGGTCTTTCGCGGCAAACCTCGCTGGTGGAGGACCGACTCGAGTCCTCGGACGACGACGAGTACCAGGACGAGCGAGCAGGTATGTTGTCCGCCTCCTACGACCATATCCACCTCCTTGCACGCTTGCCCGGAATCCGATCCCTGCACGATGCATGGAAGACGAACAGTCTGCGGGTGTCGCGCACCACCCGCGCCAAGTTCTATGTGAGCACACCACCACAGAACTCCCCCCAACACTCCCACCGGGACCCGAACGAGGACCAGAACTCAGGTACCAGTACCGACCACGGACATACCATTGACCAGTGTACGGATAGGGTGTCGCCGCCGGATCTGGTGAGGGATCTGCTGGTGGGCATTCCCAGTCCGGAGTCTCCGCAGCGGATCTCACTGCGCCAGCTGCTCCACTGGCCCAGTTTAAAGTCGCACTTGTGGCGCCGTCAGCGAAACTGCCAGTCCCTGGAGCCGCACATCCGGCTTCATCCACCCGATCCCCGGAGTCGTATCCGGCCCACGCCCATCATCCTGGTGGAGAACTATGATAGCCGCAATGTCCGCCAGCTGCGCACGGATCTCGTCCTGCACCCGCAGTCGAGTCGCGCCTCCTTCGGCCACATCGAGGTGGCCGGCGGAGAGCAGAGTCTGGCCAAAAAGGGCAGTGCCTTCTCCAAGAGCTTTTGGCAGCGACGGTGGCGTCTCCTGCGCCGCAAATCCCCCTCCCAGTCCGAGTCCAATTCCCACTCGAATAACAGCCAACACCCCGATGCCGCCGCGGCCAATTGCAATGACTGTGTGGCCCAATGACAGGAAACCACCTCCCTGACTCGAAGGACCAATGACAGCCACACAACCACCCGTGTGGTTACCTTCACCCTGCACCACCAAACCACTTTTGTTTTCCACTCTCTGGCACACCACTGCTTTTCCGTAGTTATGGCCGTGCTCCGTAGTTGTTTGCCATTTTAGTGAACTTTAAAATATTTATTTAATAAATTACCAAAAAGTTTCGTTTTATTTGACTTGCTTGTTGAATTTTATAGCCAATTATTTTTGGTCAAATGGCCCGTGAGAAGCCAAAAACAGGTAAGTGCACTGACAGAAAATCATTCCGCCCAAAAACCAAAGAATGTGATACAAAAATTCTCAAATGAGGAGCAAAATATTGCAATGTATAATGGAATTTTTGAAGGCTTTGTTGTTTTTTAATTACATTTCTCTTTGCCAATTCTGTTGGGAATCCTGAAGAGCCATCATCAGTTGGTTTCCATTTTAATGGATTTCGCGCCAATGGGCGCATTATGAAAATAAAGTGCTCATCCCGTTCATTTCGCAATTGGCCAGTGCAATGGCAAAATTGCAATCAATAAATTTGCAGCGCGATTAACTCGATAAGCAAACAAAAGTCCCGTCCAGCTCGGTAATGAATTGAGCGAATTAAAAGCAATCAATTGGCTGCCAGTGAGCATCTCCAGGGGCGCGAGGTCAGGGGTCAGGAGTCAGGAGTCAGTATACAGAATGCCAGTCCAGTGAGGTAAGCAGCTCGTTCTCCAAGCTCTATTCTAAGTTCAGGCATGCTTTGCTCTCACAGGACTACACAAAAAGGATAAAGGGCTTAAATCAACTTGAGCCTGTGTACCATATAATCCTAAACTGTAAAGTGTTATCTGCTTTCGTTTTCTTATAAAGTCTTTATATATATATTCCTCTTTTAACTCTCTCTCTCTCTCGATCTCGATGTGTATATATCCTTTTTGTAAAAAATTTAAAATTCTTTCCGTTTTTGAAGTTGTTGTCGAATTGGCAAAAGCCATGCTGTTTTTGGCCCCGATTCTGCTGCAAATTTTGAAATTTTGAAATGAAAATGAAGTTCCCATTTTCCATTCCAATTATCCGAATTACCAACTACCACCACCAACCACTACTACTATGTACTACAACCAAGCAACAGCCACCGCCCACAGTTCGAAAACCAGTTCCCGCAGCTCCTTGCTCCCATAAACCAGTGCAACTGCATCCTGCAACTGCAACTGCAACAGCAGCAACAGCGGCAACAGCAACATGAATAAATATTAACAAATAATCACAAAGAATAACCGAACAAATACTTTTAGATAGATTTCCCCAAACGATTGGCATGTTAATAGATTACATCTCCTGTCTTGGAGCACAGTATTCCCTCAAAAAGAGCACTCTCCAATTATATTATATATGTAATCACCACAGTACGGCACCCCTAAATTGACTTACTCCCAATCTGGCCAACTATGAAAACATGAATATGAATATGATTTTTGTGTATCGTTTCTAGACGAATTCGACGATTTCTTTCAGTGGGGCTAAGACCTTATAGGCTACGATTTAATCAGTTAGGGCTAATAAATAGAGAAAATCACATATATACCTTTCGAATATGTATACAGGCATACCTCAAGTGCAAATGCTGAAAAAAACAAAACACACACACTTTTGAAAATTCTACATGAAACTTAAAGTAGTTATAAAACCGACATATATATATGTTTATAATCAAATAAATAACACAGAGAGAGAGAACCACCCAACACCCTCAACCACCAGAGCCCAGAAGTGCACAAACCCCAAACGGATGCAGCCAAGTAAGTAACTAATCAGGTATGAGAACTTTGTATCCTTTTAGCCAAAACCATTAGAGCCAGTTAGTGCTTAAGCATCTTTATTTGGCCGCAGGCTGCAAGCTACATACCATTTATTTTGGCAATTTCTCTTAGAGAACTAGATGCGGAATGTAGATGCCAGCCACGTATAATATAGTTTAGTTATTCGGTGTCATGTGGCATGTCACTAGACACACAAATCAATATACAACACACACCAAATCTATCTACATTTATTGACACTCTGAGACTCTAAATCTGTAGTTGAAAATGCATCAGTATGGCATCAGTATTTTAAACGAAATTCCGGACTTTTTGTGTCGATTTATGCAGATCATTTCGCTTCAGGAGGAGGAGGATACCACAAAGGATAAGCCGTGAGGCAATCTAGCAATTAAATGGAGTATCTATCCAAAATGGCAAGCAATAAATGGGCAGTAAGGCGTAGCAACAATTAAACCCATTTCCCCAACAAAATATACCCATATCGAGCTTGGCTGCTGGGTAATCTCGCCCATTTCTATGTGTAGTTTAGAAACCCGACACCCACTGATACCCCAATCTCCCTCTAGAAACCAAAAAAAAAAACAACCATAACTTAGTTTAATATGATAAACCACCGTCTCAGACTTTGTAGGAATTATAGGAGTTAAGAGAGCCAATTTAGAAATTTTATTGTTGTAGAGTGTTTTGTGTATTAAATGTTGATTGTATTGACACAAAAATGCAAATTTAGAATCAGTTCGAAATGAGAAATGCAAATACACAACTCTCTGAGGGGCTAAAAGCGTAACTATGCTTAAAACAACAAACAAAACTAACACTAGCACAACAGACACAAAGATAAAACATAAAACTAAAATCTATAATTAAGAAAATGTGTATATATTAAGATCCTTTCTAAGTCCCATCCACTTGCGCTGTAGAATTAGTATTATAATAACCCGGACCTCATTTCTGGAAGCACTTTTTCGGATAAACGCGGGCTTGCACTTCCCTCGGATGTAATTTCAATAACTTTCTGACAATCAGAGGTTCTTGCCTGGAACGAAAAACAAACAAAAATAATTACCAAAAACCAAAAAAAAAATGATATTTCTACACTGGATATTTCAAATGCATGCCACAAGTGAAACTTTGTTAAACTAAGCAATTAATGTCTATGTAGTGTAGTGTAGTCGCCACCACTGTAGCTGAAAACCACGAGCATCTCCCGAGGAACTATGCATCTGGAAACCAGGATAAGGCCACGGCACGAATGGATAGCAAGAGAGACAGATACGAAGAAGGATAACCGGTTACGGATATGGTTACTTAATGCATAAACAGATAAATGTACACCCTGTCTATGTCTATTAAAACGAAATTAAATTCAACTTTATTGCAGAAACAGCAAAACCCACTAAATGAGTTTTTCTAAAGGCCATCAAGGGGTTTCATTTTAGGTATAAAACTTTGTAGAGAAGCTCCTATTCCTTCTTAGAAAAATCTTAATTAATGGCAAAAGTGTCAAGGTTCGACCGGAGACACATGCATCGAGTTGGCGGCGGCAACAATTAATTCAGTTTTGTCCTGGATTCATTATGCAAGGATTTCGACGCTTCCACTCTTCATTATTCGGCCCATCTGTCCCGCTGTCGACTGGCATTGTTTGTTTGCAGTTCTGTGGCCATTATGACACCATTTGCCAAGCCAATGTCAAACAAAAGCCAAAAGCGTCCACATCAGCATGAGGCATCCGCAGTGTGGATGCCACGAGGAGTAGGTCGGATGGATAAGTGGGTGGCTTCTGGGTGGGTTTGAGGTGGTCTGGGCTGGTGGTTGGCTAAACCGCAGACGCAGCCATTTTGTTTGCACTGTCTAATGAGAAAAGTTTGCGGAAAGCATTGACAATGAATGCTCCCGATAAGAGTGGGCGGTTGCTAGCACACCATATACATATAACATATAGCTAGTGGGCTAGTAGATGTGTGGGTCAGGTCCGTAACCACTGACACAGTTCCACAATAAGGAAGGTTACCCACACATCTCAGCCGTTGATCGATTGTGATTCACTCGCTTACGACTGCAGCAGTTTAATGAGCTACTACACAGGCTTGCTGATGAGAAAAAATACTGAGCCTGGGTCAACCCTTTTCTGCCAGGCTATCTAATTACTTTTGTTCCCGGCCCCGAAAACAGGAATTGGGGAAAAGCGGCCGGGGCCAAAGGGCAAAAAGACGGAAGCCGTGGGAAGGCTGGAGGGACCACTGATGAATTGAATCCAGTGAACCGCAGACAAATCAAGTGGATGCTCCACTTAGACCATAGAATCAGCTTTGAAAGATTTTTCTTTTTTTTTTTTGTGAAGCTTTTTTGTGGAAGAACTTTAATGGCAGGCAGGCCTGAGGCCAGAAACCTAATGCCGAAAAAAAGGAAGAAAATTCTGAAAAATGCCAACGCTGACGAGGACGAAGGCCCCGGGAAATGCCTCCTCATCATACTTTCTCGTCTGAATGGATTTTTCCTGCCCCGGAGTTGGCATAATTGCAGCCGAACACAAAGCCCAAAATGCTTCTAATGTGCAGTCCCCATGTACTGATATGCTTAGGCACAAGAAAAAAAGATCTAAGAGATGCTTATATTAATTTTCTTTATAAAGATTCCACTTTATACCTTTTTAGTTTATAATCATGAGCCATATTTATCATAAATTTTTATTTAAAACTTAAGTCTTATAACTTCTCTCAGTGTATGCCGCTTAAGCCATCACTTAGGCACATCCGAACAGGTTCCAAAAATGCTTCTGTTGGTCTCGTTGCCAGTTGCCTGGCTATCATCATGAAATCACGCATACGCAGCGTATAACGAAAGAAACTGAGAAGCATTTGAAAGGCATCCCGAACTGGCTGGAAACTTTATGGCAAGGACTTAACCATGTATTAGGAACTTTCTGGCATTGTCAAGCCAAACTTGCCAAGACGAAGAAAAAAAGACACAAAACTGAGCACTGAATATAAAAACTACATAGCACTGCACAGGCAAAGTCTCTTGTTTGGATTAAGTGAGCTATTTGCCGCGGGCTCTGAAATAATTCATTCCCTCCCAACAATTTTGCCGCAAGCGACCAATAAAAAAAAAATCACTCCAAAAACTACAAGTATTATCTCTTATCTTGGCAGGAAAGTTTGAAAAAAAATAAGAAGGAAATTAGCAAAAGCTGTTTTTTATTTGATTTTAGGGGAAACTTTAAATAAAAATTCAATTTATCTCATAATGTATAACCACTCCTTCAGAAAGAAGCGTTCTTTAGTCTCCCATGACCCATTCACTTTCCTTTTTTTAAAATTTTACAATTATGAACCCAAGAGCAATCCCCGATAGAGTCACTCCTTGCGCTGCCAATCAGCTGAAAGCAAACATCCAACTCTGAATTATGCATTATCCAGAGCGCGCCCAGCCTCCCCAGACTGCTAGCTAGCTGCCTCCTGCCGGCAGGGCAGGATAGTTGCAAACACCAGAGCAGGATGAGACATTTGTCCAGCGCCCGTTGCAGGCCACTGATATCGAAAAGCAATTTCCGTTATGGCTGCCACAGTTCCCTAATCCCCGCAACGGATGCAAGCAAATGAGCAGGGCGAGCAAGACGTTGCCAGGACAACGTCGACGAAGACAACAAGTAGTCCTGGCAACTGACTTCAATCAAATAAAAACCGACAAAACTTCTCTAGCTAAAAGGGAGAAAAATATATTTAGTTTAAACGAATCTGCCAGTGGATACATAGCACATATATTTATTATCAGCTTAGAAAATGTTTTGGGGTCTCAGCTCAGCTTTGGACTTGTACGACGAGTACCTGAAGGCGTTCAGGATCAATGATGACACAGGCAAGGAGGGGAGCAACGCTGGCGGAGATGGTCCCACGTCCCCGGCTAAACTGAACATCCTACTCCTGGGCGAAGCGGATGCTCGTCATGTGATCCGGACTCTGGCCAAACGCTATACACATCGGGTTAAGCCCGATATCCACATATATATCGTGGAGGGAAGCCCCGAAATAGAAGCCCGTCACATGCTGCTCTTGGCTGTGGCTCTGGAGGATCCCGCCTCCTTCAATCTCGTAAGCAAAGCCCATCTGTACATGGATCTCTATGGGAATACAATGGTGCGTCCGAGCACCTATCACTACATGGCCTCCAAAGGGCGTACTCTCCTGAAAATGGTCACCAACGAGGAGCAACTACAGAGCCTGGCGCCCATGCTAAATATCCAGCACTTAAAGTACAGGGAGCGGGATGGCCTTGAGATGGCCTTCACTTTCTGGCAACCACAGCCCCAGCATGTCTACAAAATAACAGAGTACTGGGAACAGCGCGGAAGAGCTCTTATGGGTACTCGATATGACCATCGAAACGGGGTGTTCGATTGGGATTTGAATATGACCCTCAAGAATCGCGGTGGCCAGCAGATTTGCTCACAGGAGTATCGGTACTGGCGGGAGTCCGGCGTGGCCTTTGTCTTTCCGGAGTACGAGCACTGCAAGCCGAACAAAACCTTCTGTGCCGGATTGGTGCGGGATGGGACTACCTTCATGCATCGCGGCTACGTCGGAGAAATGCAGACTGGTCCCTTTTGTGGCTTCGGATTGCGTAGTGCCGAAGAGCGGATGCATAACTCTGCGCATGGCGAAAACGATTACCGAGCCACCGATATAACCGAGCGAAATCTTCTAGAGTTCTTCCACGAACTGCAAACCCAGGAGCCATACGAGCACGATGCCACCCGATCCCGTCGCTACGGATCCGTTCAACTACTGATGTCCCCGCTATTGAGCCACGAGGAAGAGGACATCAGCAGTGTAACAAGCTACCAACGTCCCTGGATCAAGGTACCGGGAGTCACTGTTCACTACTTGTCGTCGCTGGTAATTCCCCAGATGCAATCAGGCGTCGAGTATTGGAACAGCATGTTCGATGTTGTCTTCGTGGCTTATAACTACAATGTCTTCTTGAAAAATCCCTCATTCTTACATATTTTGAAACCGCAGGGTCTGTTTATCCACGAAACTATGCAAATGACCGTTAACCGCAAGGACGTCGTCAAGGAATTCGAGTCCAAGGCAAAGAAGTTTATGAAAGAGGGAGGACTTAAGCCGGTCCTCAACTATAATGCCATAAATAGCAAAAACATGATACTCAAATTCAAGAAGAATCGTTTCGATGACGGAAATGAGGCAGATGAGGAAGAGGAGGAGGAGAAGGAGGAGGACTCTGAAGAGGCTAATGGGGTTGGTGAAAATTGGGATTTGAAAATATCAGAAGTAGAGAATGAAATTGAGGCAGTTGATGAACCTTTGCCAAAGGATGACACCAAACCAACGATGCAAATCAATGAGAAAGAAGAGACCTCACCGAATCCAAACCCTAAGGAGGACAAGATCGCTACTGATAGAAAAATTATAGCAATAGAAAATTCTACTCAGGATGCTATTGAAGAAAAAAGAAAGGATAATTTGGAAAACTATGCCCAGAAAGATGAGGAAGGAACTAAAGATGCCACAAATCCTGTTTCAGAAGAGCTTCCTTTTAAGAAAAAATTTTTTTTTGATGATGAAAGATGGAGGTCAGTTACAAAAAGAATCAAAGAGCTAGCAAGACCTCTTCCAAAAAGTGTTCCACGGGAAGATCCACAAGTTGTGGTTCCAGAAGTACCAAAGGGCGAGGAGTTTAAGAACGAATCGGAAAACCCAGTCAAGACGGAGGATACTATAGATAATACTAAGACCGGTGTATCTAATGGAGTCCAAAATACTGATGCAGTTTCTTCAGACGATCTTAAGGTTCCATCCTCAAATCCTGATCTCGAGGTTCTTTCCTCAGATCCTGATCTCGAGGAATTTCTCCGACTGGAGAATGAATCATGCTGTCAATAAAATATAATTAATAATTTTCACTTTATTGAATACAACAGGTAACGTTAATTTTGTCTTTGGGTTTTTTTTTGTTTCCCCGTGGCCCAGGTGTCCAGTTTAAACTCCATTCCCTCGGTGCGTTGTCGCACCTTCTTTGGTGTGCCAAATGAGGATACCTTCCGACGGTCCTCCTCGTAGTCCAGTAGATGATCGATTCGGACATTCAGCTTCCTAGCCCGCGTACCCAAAGCCCAGCGATCCTTTTCATTTCGCTTCTGCTCTTCCCATTCCACCACTTTGCGGCGAGGCACATGCTTGAGGGCCTTGTTCCAGTCATTGGTTTTCTTCAGGTCCAGCATAATATTGATCATCTGATTGAGAGTGAGTGACTTCCCGGAACCCGATCCCCACTGCAGGTAACGGTCCAGGGGCAATCGTGCCATGCGCAGTCCCATCCTCTTGGCCTTGGCCAGTGACAGAGGTTCGTTGTTCATCGTGTCCACCATGGCTCCTACTATGTAGATGTCATCGGGGTTATAGGTAACCAGATCCTCGCGGCAGTGGGGCGTTAGGTAGACCAAGTTCTTTTTTGGAAATAGCTCTGTGAAGCACTGTTGGTGAATGTTTATCGGAAACTCTGGATTCAGCATGGTGGGTATGAAGCGATTGAGATTCTGCATACACCTGCCCTCCATGTGGGCATTGCAGTAATGCAGGTCAAATGGTTCGTCATTCTGTCGGTTTTCAGCGAAGCAATACATCAGTTGCTTGGCCGCATAGGAGGCTTCCCGGTTGTTCATGTGCTCGTCGTAGGAACAGTCTAGGACCATCTTGGGTGCAAACTGCATGGCCCTGGTGAGGCGATTATTCTGCCAGTGATTGATTGTTGTGTCGTAGATGCGCAGGAACATGGAGGTATGCCCGAGTCCGTAGATGATGTGCGTGTTCTCCTCGCGTTCCTTCTTCATCTCGGCTACTCTCTTTTCAGTTTCCTCCGCCCGAATTTCCTTTCTTCGCTTCTCCGACTGCTTCTTCATTTCAATCTGCCAGAGGAAGGCGAAATACTTGATCCTCGCCGACTTGGAGGGCAGTGTCAGCACGTGCTCCCAGTGGTGGTCCTGAAAAAATTCCAGTGCCGGCACTCGTCGGCCCTCCTGATGGGCTATGTCAGCTTCCAGCTGGAGCACCTTCAGTCGCTTCTCCCGATCCTCCTTGGACTCGGTCGCCACCGGTTCAGTAAACGTCTCAGTTGTCGGTTGGGCAAATGGATTGGCAAACTTCTTGGGAGTCTCCTCCGGACCGGCAAAAGGATTGAACCTGCCAGCGGATTCCGATGAATGTCGCGCTGGTGCGACACATCCTTTTAGCAACTGGCTAGCCAGCCGCCGTCCTACAAGGCTTTTCAGCATTTCAGAAAGCTTCCAATAGGAGATATCGAGTTCTTAAGCTAAAATTGTAAATTAAATAACAGAGCCCAACGTGATAGGGTTGTCATTCCATTTTTAAAAAGTTGCCAGACCAAGAAATACCAAACAAAAAATACCAAAACCGTGGCAGTATTTTTGGTGGGTGGCATCGCTGTGAGTTGCACAGAAGAAGAAGACGTTTGCCGACAATTTTGCGCTTGGTTCGGGAAAAACGTGTAAAACATTTATATTACTAACTAAAATACGCGCCAACCGACAGAAACACATACAGTTATGGCTTTGGTCTGCGCACGTAAGTAGTGTTGTTTCTTTTCATTGATTTGTCCTAACGAACCGTTCATTCCACTCCTCCAGTGACAAACGAAGTCCCAGAGACGCCCGTGGTGTCTCCGTACTCGGGAGCCGTCTTTGAAAAGAGAGTGATCGAAAAGTATCTGCTTGAGAATGGTTGCGACCCCATTAGCGGCAAAGAGCTGAAGCCGGAGGAGCTGATTGAGATCAAGACACCGGCGGTGGTCAAGCCGAAGCCGCCAAGCGCCACCAGTATACCGGCAACTCTGAAAACAATGCAGGACGAGTGGGATGCGCTGATGATCCACTCGTTCACACAACGCCAGCAGCTGCAGACGACGCGACAGGAGCTGTCGCACGCCCTGTACCAACACGATGCCGCCTGTCGAGTAATTGCGCGTCTGAACAAGGAGGTGGCCGCTGCTCGCGAGGCCCTGGCCACGCTGAAGCCTCAGGCCGGCATTGTAAGTGCTCCGACGGCAATTCCACAGCCGGCATTGGCCACAGAGGCTGGCGGTACTGCTGCCCATCCCATGGAGCAGGCAGGAATGAGCGCCGAGGTGATACAAAAGCTGCAGGACAAGGCTACGGTGCTGACGCAAGAGAGAAAGAAACGGGGACGTACTGTTCCTGAGGATCTAGTGACGCCGGACCAGGTTAAGAGCTTCCTCACAACGGCCTCCCATCCCGGTCTGCACTCGGCGTCGGTTCCCGGTATCCTGGCTCTGGACATTAATAGTGCGGATCACAGCAAGATTCTGACTGGCGGAAACGACAAGAACGCCACTGTATTCAACAAGGACACGGAGCAGGTTGTGGCCATCCTTAAGGGACACACCAAGAAGATCACCAAAGTCATCTACCATCCCAACGAGGACACCGTCATCACTGGATCGCCCGACATGAACATTCGGATCTGGCACGTGCCCACCTCGCAGACGCAACTGCTTTTGCGATGCCACGAAGGTCCCGTAACCGGCCTGTCACTGCATCCCACTGGGGACTACTTGCTGTCCACCTCTTCGGACAAACACTGGGCTTTCTCTGACATCCGTACAGGTCGCCTGCTCACCAAAGTAATCGATTCAGCCGAGGTCGGCTTAACGACAGCTCAGTTCCATCCCGATGGTTTGATTTTTGGCACCGGCACCGTGGATTCTCAGGTCAAAATCTGGGATCTGAAGGAACAAAGCAACGTGGCCAACTTCCCCGGCCATACTGGTCCCATTTCGGCCATCTCCTTCTCAGAAAACGGTTACTATCTGGCCACTGCTGCGGATGATGCTTGTGTGAAGCTGTGGGATCTGCGGAAGCTGAAGAACTTCAAGACAATCCAATTGGACGATGGCTACGAAGTCAAGGATCTGTGCTTTGATCAGAGCGGCACCTATTTGGCGATTGCTGGCACCGATGTCAGGTGAGAGTCGTTTCCATTTTTATTAATTTTGAAATATTTCTATAGAGTTGGCTTAAACCTTGTGTTTACGTCGCTGTTCCACCTGCAATCGATGGTGCTTCTTGAAGTGCTCCATCCAGTTGTTCAGACGGTTTTGCTTCACCAGTGCACGGCGTGACATTTCCTTATCCGCTGCCATTCGGCGGCGCACCTGTGCCTCAACTCTACGCAGTTCGTTGGGTTCGACGTGGTCCAGCTTTGCCAGGAGATCCTGCGCCAGACAATGTCACTATTAAAGTCTAACCTAGACCTTCGTAAGTTTCATGCTTACCAGAACGTTAGCTTGAATTTTCTCCACTTTGGCTAGGGTAGTGTCCTGTTCATCTTCGTAGGCACATTTTGGCGGAGGCGGTGTACCCTGGACATCTTCTAGGGTGCGCCATTGCTTCGAGGACTTCTTGGCGGGCTGTTTTGGTGGTTTGGGAGCTGGTTCCGATTCCTCCTTCTTCTGCTCGGGATGGACTTTGTTTTGAATGTGCTTGAGGATCACCGGAACAATGCTATTCAGCTTGATGTTTAGTTTGCTGACAAGGACAGAGAAAGGATATATATAAGCATTTTAGAACAGACTTTCTAACTCACTCTTTGCAGTATTTATTTTCGTAATCATCCAGTAATCCCTTGGCCCGATCTTGTAGGGCAGCCACACGACGTCGCAGGAACTCTGGGTCCTTGAGGAACACATTCGCTGTCACCTGCCTGTCGTAGGTTTTTTGGGTCTTATTGTGAAGTATATCCACAATGTGGTTCAGGATCGCCAGCTGGGTGAAGCGTCGGTTGTAGTTGGAAACCTTTAGGCGGTTCCGCTCATAGCCCCGTATCCAGATGTCGGCGTTCAGATGATTTCGTTTGGCCAGATAGGGCCGCACCACCTTCTCCATGTATTCCTGCACTTGACGCACCTGCTCCAACCCCGCTGGGTTACGTTCTGTAATTTCCATGGCCACTATTTCCTTTGGCATAACCAGATGGTCGGCTCCTTCGCTCCCATCCGATTGATCCTCCTCCACCGTGTCGTCAAAATAGCTGATCAACTTGAGCAAGTACTGGAAACGGCCGTAGACTTCCTGCACCTCCATGAGGACTCTCTGGTGCTCCAGCTTCACCTCGTTCAGCTCTTCGGCCAGCTTGCTCTCCTTGAGTTTCTTAAGCTTCTCCTGGGCCTCTAGCATTTTCTTGAACTCCTCCGCCTCCATTTTCTTTAATGAATCCTCGGCAAACTTATGAAACTCCTCCGCCTTCTCGTACAGCTGGTCCTGCTGTTCCTTTTCCCGTTTTCTATCCAGGAATAGTTCCTGGGTGGCATAGTACATGAAGCGGTTGCGAGTGATATCTCGGAGTAGAAGGATGTCCCTGAAAGGAAATTGTTTTAGAGATTCTTTGAATATTTCCTGGGACTTACGTTTTCATGCGAAACTTTCTGGCCAATCTCTGGAGGCTGGCATCTTTAATGTAATCGGGATCGATGGTGGTCACCACGCAGGGAGCACGAGGATTGGCGATTTCACCGCGCTACATGAAGGATTAGGTTGTTTTCATTAAAAGTTTTAAAACAGTACCCACTTCCTACCGCATTGAAATCCTCAATTGATAAATTGATGGGCTTAGGTGGCTCCGGTTCCACATGAGTCTTGGGTCGCACAAAATCTATAAAGTTTAAGGGGTTATCTCAATCCTATCCTTTGTTTAAATTTCTTTAATTACTTTCATATTCACGATAAACCTTTCTCCTAAACTTCTTCATCTTGCAAGGATTCCTATACTGATTTTGTTTATTCGGTTGCCAAGATACTAATATTATTTTTAATTCTTATATGCAGGGTTTACCAATGCAAGCAGTGGCAGGACCTGAAGGTCTTCAACGACCACACAGCCCTGGCAACGGGCGTACGATTTGGAAAGCATGCCCAGTATCTCGCCTCCACCAGCATGGACCGCACCTTGAAACTGTACGCCATCGAATAAGCAATTCAGAGTCCACAAATATAGTTTATAAGACATAAAACTTTGTATCCCATTTTCTCCTAAACTTTGTGTATCTTATGGAACAAATCTGGCAGAGAAATAAACCTGACCCCCCCTCAATCCGAAAGGCTAATAAAATATGTAACTCAAGGCGTCGATTTTGTTTAAATTTCGATGTTTCAGGACAAAATAAAGATTTTACGAATTACTATTCATATATTTAATTTCTTATTAATGCATTACACTTATTAACTTATTCAGTTCGCCAACTGCCCTAAGATTCTATTCACAATCTTCACGAGGCCGAGATCTGTTTCAGAGGTCGCTCCAGATACGCGGCCAGGGACATGGCCTTCTGTTTCAGCAAGCCTAGTCCGACGTTCTGCTTGGCATACAGGCACAGCAAGACACTGGCCACCTGAAAGATAGGGATTGAGTGGTGAAGTCTGTGGTTACTCCAAGAAATTATGCACTCACCTGGGTAATGGCCACATGACCATTTTCGCAGTCAATCAATACGAAAGTCAGTCGATCCTCGCGAAAGGCGTTCCGACCGTGCTTTTCGTAGGCGGCCCAAATGTTACTTGCTATGGCAGCCGTGATCCGAGCATCCTTGTCGCCATAGCCCGAATAGGCCAGAAGAGCACCCTCCTGGCTTAGTAATCTGGGGGGGTTTTGGAAATCTTTATTGGAGTGCTTGGATTGGATACTACGATGACTTACAGTGTGTTTTCCACGCCCCCGGTGTTGGCCTGGCTTAGAACCTGAGTTAGAGCCTTTGGTTTCAGCATTTTATTAAGGGTTTTAAGGTGGAAAATAAAAAAAATAACAAAACAACTACGCCTTTGCCAGTCCCAGAGCCACCATCATCAGCTGATAAGGAAAAGGCGATTTGGGGAGAGTGGCAACCCTGTGGCGCCAAAATCTGACGTTTATTTGAATTTTAAAATGTTACTATTTATTACATTCAATGCTTTGATATATAAAGAGTATAATTTAGTCATAAAACTCTTGATTTCCAATAAAAACACTCCCTAAAAAGAGAAGCGAAAACATTAAAAATATTTATTTAATACTAAAAAACTAAAAACATACAAAACTTGTGATTTATTAAAAAAAAATATTAAAGATGGTTATTCTTAGTTTGGGCTTATGAAATAGGCAAAATAAGCTTAATTTCCATTTCTGTGGCTATTTTTTACCCCATTTTTCAGTTCCAAAGTAGCTACTTATGTATGTAAATATTTACATTCCTATAGTTTCCCTATAGTTATCATTTTTAATAATAATTAAAAACAAAACTATAAATTAAACGTTATTCATAAGCCAATTTAAAATTTAACAAACTACCAATTATCAAAATTTGTATAGTCCTATATGCTTCAAAAGTCTTGAGACCCTTAATAAATGCGGATTATCGGAAAGCTACTTTCACCTGCCGAAATAGCTCAGTTGGGAGAGCGTTAGACTGAAGATCTAAAGGTCCCCGGTTCAATCCCGGGTTTCGGCAAATCTTCTATTTTTTAAAATTTCTATATATTTTTCTTTTAAAATTTAAACTGAAATGATAAGAAACCTAATTTTAGAAAGTACTAGTACTGATAAGGTCTCAAAATATCTTTATGGCTATAACATAAACAGTATGCAATCTTTTACTTAAAATTTGTCCACAAAATATTTCCCAAAACAGCTTAGATAATTCCAACTTTTATCTTTTAACAATTGTGGAAACATTCCAAGTATCATTTCCACCCATTATTTCCGGTTTTCCAGAGGTTTTTTCTCTCATCTTTATCGCTTGTCGCAAATGTTAAGGCGTATTGTGTGACGTCATCGTGAAAAACCAGGTCACGGACCTATTACGCAGCAAGTATGCACTGCAACCCTCCCCCAATGCGCTCACTCTCAGTGCCATTATCCGATGCATCAGTGCTCCTCGGGGTCAGCAACAGTTTTTGCCTTCCAACCACCGAATTTGAAACGCTTCATCGCCCGAATACCTGTACTTTGGCACTGGATTCTACGCAGTTAGCCGAAAATAATGGCCAGAGCCAGGGCCAGAGGCCGGAGCAGGGTGCAATTTCAGCTGCAAATTGCGCATGACTCAGCACACTAGCCCCATCCCTTCCAGAGTTTTGGCTTTGGAATCTAGGTCACAAGCCGAGGAGGCAACCACGCCATAAACGATGATCTGTAACAGCCTGGGAATGGTACAACTATCAAAGAAACAATGGCTTTTGCATTAAAAATTTATTTATTAACTTAGATTCAACCAAATTTAGTCTTGGGTAATATAATCCGGCAGTACCGTACGCACTGCATTGGTACATGATATCGCATTTAAGATGGAGAGTCTTATGATAATTAAATATTACTACCGCTAAGTAATATGTACACTTGACAAAAATACATATACCTCTATATGACATTGTTTGGTGTAGCCTTCTATATTGGTTCGTCTGAATGAGGAGTGGGTAATTGGTAGTGGGTGGGTGGGTGCGTGAGGTGCTGGGTATATTGAAGAAAGGTGAACTGTTTCATAGCCGTGTTTTATTTCGAGTATTAAAGTTAGGCTTTAACGGGGGATGGTGGTATTATAGCTGGAAGGAGGTGTGTGTAGGGTGCGCTGGCTGATCTGATAGCTGAAGTTTAGAATACATACGTACATATGGCCTGTTTGTGGCTGTTGTTCCGCTAGCTAAACTTAATTACAATCATATTTACATGCTAAACATGTCTGCTCCTTCTTTCTCGGTCTGCTCCGTGTCTATGTACTCGGGGTATTCGCTAGTCTTTCAAATATCAAAATACATAAGTATTCGAGAGTCTACGAAATATCAAAATACATATGTGTATAACTATAAATGTCCTTCGTATTCAATCACAGCGCGCGCTCATGTGAAACAAAACTTTTAAACAATAGTAACGTAAAGTTCTGTAACTCAAAACTGATTCGGGGTGAGGAAGCACCGCTCCCCGCCACGGATTCGCTTTATTATCGGGTCATCTGGGGATCGGATGGGGTGCCGGGTGGGACAGGCCTACTGCGTTGTGGAGCGGGCACGTTTTGGATTGGAATAAAGCGAAATCATCATCGATGGATCCTGGATTACGGTCCCGGATCTGTTCAAACGACGCCGTCTGTGGGGCGGCAGACGGTCCACGAAACGCTTGGGTATTCCGTATCCGACGAGAGCCTTCCTATCATACGTGTCGAGATTGTCGTTATAATAGGTAATGGCATCCCAGCACATCTCGCTTAGTTTGGGCACCGTCATCCACATCTTGTAGAGGTCGTTGCGGCGGCGCATCTCCTTGTCATTGTACTCGATACCACCGAACACATACATGCACCCGTTGTCCGAGTGAGCTGCCGAATGGAAGTAGAGTGGGCGAGGCAAGCTGGCGGTTATGATGCGGAACCATTGCTTAGTGCGCAGATTCAGCTTCCAGATGTCCGAGAAATATGTGGAGAAATCGCCCTGAAAATAGAATCGAGGCTATTAGATTCCACTGGATATAGAATTCTATATTCCCACTCACCTGTAAGCCGCCTGTGATGAAGGCCTCGATGTCTCCATTGGAGGACTCGTGCTGAACACAGGAGAAGCACTTTCGTGGCCTCGGATAGCCTCGGTTCCCGTCATCCATATCGAAAGCACTGCGATCCGGTTGTGTGTCAAAGTAATCCCAACAATTCGCCTCCAGATTGTAAGCGGGAATGCGCTGCAGGTCGTAGACCGAATGGGAAGTACCACCGCCCAGCACATAGATGTGCTTGCCATCATAGACGACCTCGTGGCGGTAGCGACCATCCGGATCGTCGCGCATTTCCGGACGGCTAATATACACATTCTCCCATATGCGGGTGCGCAAATCCAAGCGGTAGACATCACATGTATAGTCGAATCCTGTGGTACCGCCAATCGTGTACAGGTAGTGCTTATGGATCACAATTCCCGGACCGTACTGGGCCGTGGGCAGATCGCCGGTGACCTTCAGACGTTCCACACCAGCCTTCGAGCCACCACTATTCGTGCGGTAGACATAGCAGTCGTTGGAACAGGATTCCCCAAAGGGATAGCCAGTGCCGCCATGAGACTGGAAAGAAAAATGTTGATTTTTAAATGAAAATTGACAATTTCCAGGCAAGATTTTGTAAATTAAATAAATTTTCTTATGCAGCGGAGGTTAAGCGGGTCAATGCATCTACGCCCCTGACATTGCTGCCGATGCATTCAATTAGCAGATACTTGAACGTCAGCTTATCATCATCGCCTAGGGGGAGGAGGTGTGGATGTGGATGTGGATGCGGTCGGGACAAAGACGAACGAGAAAAGGGAGGCTGGGTAGAAGAATACTGCTGCAGCCCAGATAAGCGGAAACATGTGTCTCCAGTGTGTTTTTGTGTATGTATACACCATCTGACTTGGTATCGGGCATGATTCGTCATCAAATTATAGCTAATTGTGGAATGCACTGAGGGAAGGGCACTGCAGCCAGCATAAAATGCCAACAGCTCCCGTTTGGTGGCTAACCTCCCAAAAAAAAAAGCGCGCGCACTCAGCTGGGTGGAAGGAAAAGGCACAATGTTTTGAGTTTTCCAGCCGAGAGCGAGCGAGAGACAGAGTGTCAGAGAGAGAGGGAGAAAGAGGTGGGGGAAAGCTGGAAAACAAGTTGTTGCATGCAGCAGCATAAACAACAACTGCGTAGTAACCAATGTGGAAAACAAAACACCAAACGGAAAAATAGAGGGTTGCATGGCATGCGCAGAGTGGGAATAGGCGAGAGAAGGTGGAGCACGAGGTGGCGAAGGGTGGGAGGCGAACGGCAATGGCCATGGGCAGCTGTTTGGGTTGACATTTCGAGTGTTTAGAATGCATAAACAAAACGCAGAGGCGGTGGCAGAACGGTTGGCCAGGGGGCTGCCTCGGAGGGCGGAGAGTAGGGCGTGGCATTGGCCCTGGCGATTTTCAGTCTGCCCAGAATAACTCTACTCTCTCTCTCATACTACTGTTCTCTCTTCCTCTCAAGATCTGCGCCCGATCAGCTGTCCGATTTCTCTCCCCATTTCACCGTTCACCGTTCAATTGTGTTTTCTACAGCAGCAGCGAAAAACTAGTTTTCCTTGCAATTGATGGTTTCGCTTTCCTACAAACACTAGCAATAGCACTAAGCACTGGCACTGGTGGCACACACAAACACATAGACAGACACACACACACCCCACACACAATCAAAGTCGCTCATCTATTTTCGTCTACCCAACACCCCCCAGTAGCCCCGCTACAACCAATCTTCGAGGTTCAGATATAGTATCTGCGAGATACTCACAATCAGCACATTATTGTGAATGGTCAACGCATTGGAGGCCAGCTCCACGGGCATGTTGCTGGCATTGTCCGCATTCAGCTCTAGCTTCCAGGTGCTGGTGGCAAAGTTGAAGCTCCATAGCTCCTGGAAGAGCAGGCAGCGTCCGCGGCGAGAGGCAACCAGGGCACTGCGCGGATTATAGCCACCCAGCGAATACAGATGCGAGCTGGAGGCAATTATACGGTGGCCACTGCGCGCCAGCGGGAATCCCCCGGGGAAGTGCTTGTTTCTGAACTGGCACTTGACCAGGCGCAGCGGTTGGAAGGCGTATTGGGGCTTCACCAGGAGCTGTCCTTGCGACTCTGACGGATGCTGACCGAGGAAGACGTCAAGCTGTTTGGAGATCTGCTTCTGCTCCTCCAGTTCATCACTGCTGGTGGACTCGTCCGAGTACATCTCCTCAAACTCGGAATCTGAGTCGGTGTCGCCATAGTCCACATCCACATCCTCGTCATCTTCTTCCTCCTCCTCGTCAATGTCGCTGGCAGCGTCCATCGGTTCCGCTGCGCCTGCAATAGCATGTATTCTGGCCACAAAGTCCCTGGGATCAAACGGAACTATCTCCTGTCCTTCCACCTGCATATTCTGCTGTTCCTGCTGCGGCTGCGGTTGCTGTGGCTGTGGGGGCTGATCCCCCGGTTGGCCCAAACCCTCCTCCGGCAGGTCCTGGTCCATGATCAGGTCGTTGTTGTTGTTATTGTTGAAAATATTCAGTGGCTCTTGGTTATTGGTGGGCTGTGGCGCTCGGATAATACACTGCAGCAGATCAACCACGAACAATAGAAACGTCCAAGTGTGACGCAGTTGGTTTAAGACGATGCACTTGAGCTTGGATGGTTTTAGTATGTTCATAACACGCTCGATGAAATCGAAAAGTGGTTGCAAGTTAACAATTTGGTAACGATTTCGGTTGGGTATCCTGATCTCGGCCAACGGGAGAAAACAGTAAAATTTATCAAATTTTGTTGATTTTTTCGGGAGGGGGCCCACGACCTCGCACAGCTGGCTGCCTATACTATGTACTAGGTTGTTTGAGTTTCTTCTGGGTTTGTTGCTTTGGTCTCTGCTGTCATTTTTTTTTTGACACTCACTCACACGCACGCACGCATTGGTGTGCACATGTTACGTGGTGTGTGAAAATAGCCACTGTTCCTTTGGTTGCGTTTTGATTTGTTTGCCAAAATCAAAAATTGCAGTCTGTCTATATGTCGCACGAAATCCAATTTACTAATTATACGAAATAACAGCAGCTGGGCGTCCGTGCATGTTGATTGTACGACAAACTACGCTTTAAATTTAGATAGTGTTGGTTTTCTGACGTTTCTGACAACAAATCGAACTGGTCCTACTTTGTAAATGTAGCATATGTCAAATTATCGATAGTATCGATAAGTGTTTTTAAAATACCAAGAATATTAGGTAACTGATATGCGTTTTAAAATCATAAAACTAATCGTAACTTACCATAATGGAAAAAATTAATAACATATAATCATTACTATCTGGTTTATTATCCTATGTTTGTTGAAAATTGGTTGCGTGCAAAGTTCAATTAGCCAAAACATTCACAACCTGGTCACACTTATCGCGATTTCTTGAAGCGGGGAAACCCCTTATCATTTAAACTCCGTTCGAAATACTTTGCTTTTAAGAATGACTTTTAAAAATAACTAAATAAGCAACATTAATTAATTATCTTCTCATAAAATTAATTGATCACCAATTAACGTCACTAAGTTGGCATTCGTTTCGCAACATGCATATAAATGAGCATGTTATTGTTTAATCCCAACTCAAGTCTTTATTCAGATAAGGCACGTTGTATCAGCAATAAAAAGTCCCTTATAGCGCAAGAGCAATCTAAGTTGACTCATGTGCGGGGATCACAACTAAGATACAGTGTGTGCTAAATATTAGAAAATAAAAATAGTTTATATGGATATTTTAGTTTTTATTCACAACTCAAGCGATTAAAAGTAAAGAGTAAACAAAACAGCAAAATGCTAAAACCTTTTTCGTTTCTGACAATGGCATTACGAAGCGTTCACTTAAGGAGTGAATACTTTATGTGCATGACATCAGGAATGGGAAATCCACAAAAGAGAGCACGCTTTTATCTGAAATGCCTGGAGTTCTTCCAAGGCATGAATAAATCTTAAAGTCAGTTCGATGGCAGACATGAACGAGGAACCGCATTCCCACGAAAAGCTTGTGGCCAAAGCAAGGCGGGCGGGGCTTCAGGATTCTGAAACAGGCAGCATAAATAGTATAGAGACAGTGGACGAAATCCTGGCTCCTATTACGCCCGCCATTAAAGCGAATATTAAATCTCCTGGGGATCTACCCACTCCGATTTCTCAGCCAGTGGGAATCTATCTCCTCGAGCCTTTAATTTTGATCCTGCTATTTGCCTACAACTTCTCGTGTAAGTCTAATCAAAATATTTTCAGTGGAAAGGCTCGCTAATGGCAAATTCCCTCGGAATCCAGCAACTGTTCTTAAAAATGAAATCATTTATCAAAGCTGCACGGCTGGTTTTCGATATCCGGATGATGTTTGTTTATTATTGGGGACCAAGAACCCCACAAATGAGACAAAGGTAAGCCCGAATTTCATAAAGTGATTATATAAACAAATTTATTGGTTATTGTTTGTAGAAAATTGAGGAAGAAGTTCAACCATATGCAGCTCGGGTCACTCTTGTAATGCGAATGGTGGAATGTATTATTCCAGCCTTTTGTGGTCTTTTTGCTGGAGCCTGGGCGGATCTGTATGGCCGGAAACCACTCCTAATGGCCTCCTTTTTAGGTCGGTTGAACTAAAAACTCGTTTAACATTAAATTCATCTAATCTTTCCGCCAGGTTATGGAATTCAATATTTAATTTCCGCTGTTATAGCATACATGGCTATACAATACCAAGGGTTAGTCAGTCCTTGGTGGTATGTCCTTTCGATTGTGCCCCTTTCCTGCTTGGGAAGCAGTGTCACCTACTCTGTGGCAGCAGTTTGCTTTATTGGCGATGTCTCCGAGGGCAGAGTACGTTCCTACAGGTAAATTCTTCATTAAAGGATTAAATTTCATATATATTTTTGTGTTTATTTTTTAAGGATGATTGCTTATGAACTGGCCATCTACATAGGTTTGCTTCTAGGAAGTTTCGCCTCAGGATATGTCTATGAAGCCACAGATGCCTACATGGTTTTTAGCATTTCTGCGGGTTCCATTTTTGTGGCCGTGTTTCTCATGATTGCATTCCTGCCAGAGAGCCTGCCCATGGAAAATCGCACCTCTACCACATCGTCTAATCAAGGAGGACTGATTTCCTTACTGAAGGATTTGTGGAGCACCTGCAAAAAGGCACGAGAGCACAATAACCGATCTATAGTTCTGATTGTAATGGTGGTACTGCTACTAACAGCCTTCGTTTCAGGTAAGTTAAAGTTGCATAAATACTAAAATTAGATAATTAACTTTATTAGATGGCAGTAATTCGGTTTTCTACATGTTTATGAGGGCCAAGTTCCATTGGTCCGTAAAGCAATTCACGGAATACGAGTCCGTCAGCATTTTAGTGCCAGCTGTGGCTGGATCTGGCGGAGTGATCTTCATCTGGTCTCTGAGAAAGGTAGGCTTGTTCAAACACCCCAACTTGAAGCTAAATATTATTGCTGATTTATGGATATAGTGCACCAAGTCAGCGATTCTGTGGTTGGCCTTGCTCTCCATTCTCAGCCACGCGACCAGCAGCCTGATGAAAGCCTTCGCCATGGTTAGTTGGCAGATCTATGTGGCCATTGGTCTGGGCTTGTTCAAGTCCCTGGTGAATCCCATGTGCCGCACAATGATCACTAATCTGCTGCCAGCCGATGAGCGGGGTAAGTACAAATTGGACAACAAGTTTCTCTGTTCTTTACACAACTCTGTGATTTTTTTTTCTCTGTAAAGGTAAAATCTTTGCCCTGCTTGGAGTTTTGCAAACACTTTCCCCACTCATATCATCTAGTCTTTATTATGCGATATATACTCGCACCCTGGACAGTGATCCGGGGATTTTTAATATTGTGAGCGCCAGTTTGTTTGGTCTAGAAATAATTTTGTTGTGGTAAGGTAACTGACTTTTATTTGGGTAATCTATTATGACATGAAAGTTACATTTCAGCATTGTGTGGCATAAAAAGTCGAAAAATCAGGTGTACTATGAGCCGGTTTTCAAGTGAACATCTAGCCAATTTCGGACCAAAACAGAAGACGCCAAAATCGGCCAGTCATTGGAAACTTTCGCATATCAATTACACAGATGGTACGGTGACGGGAACTCCCTCGTCGTCGTCCACTGAAAGCAAAAATCATTCACCCATACATCAATTCTAATTTGCATACTCGTTTTCTGGCGCCCTAAGAAATAGAAAGAAATATATGTATATATTATGATTTAGCGAATACGAAAGCCCTCTGGACTGCTAATCTGGAGTTTAATTACTAAATCCGAAATATTTTCTCATTAACAAAAATATGGGCTATTATTGCTGACAAAGCTGAGGCGTGTGCGCAGTCACTTGACAAATCTTGCGGAATATCTATAAAAACATTAAGGATGTGCATGAGTCTGTGTATCACCAATGATTGGTGCTAACTCCAGATTTAAACAAATGTTAATTTCACTCGCTAATTTTAAATTAGCCGCCAGGTTTTTTACACCCTTGGCTGAAGCTCCACCGGGCGCCTTTAAACAAAAAAATGAATCTCAATTTACGCACAAATTTAATGCCCCAACAGAGCAGAACGAAACCTCTGGAATTTAACTCGGATTCTATCAGACCCTGTTGCATGAACTGTCATTTGACCAATTAAAACTAATATAAAATAATTCCCAAATGATAAAAAAAGAAACAAATAAAATGTGATAATCTCTATTATGTAAGGTTAAATTAAAAATCTTAGATATTGAATTTTATTCTGTTTCCGACAATTAAATCAAAAAACTATTATAATTTTATTTTGGAAATATTAATAGTTCATAGTTAATTTTTTGGGGGTCTAATATATACATATGTACGTGCTATATCAACCTTTTTTTTAGTTTCCCCATGGGCCTGGCTCGTGCTACTCATTTGCACGATCCAAAAATAAGCGATTCACTATGAGTTTGTGGCAAAAAGAAAACAAATAAACACCAGGCATTGAGCTATAGTTTGTTGATATAGAGAAAATAAGCTTTGAACTGATGATCTCAAACCAAAAATAAATGAGCTTATTAAACGAAAAGATTTCGTTAAGGAAACATCTCAAGATACATTTGAAAAAGTGTGTGAGGCGAATGAGACAAGTCGGGTTTCAGTTTTCCCTGCAACACACTTTCCAATACATGGGTTGGAGAATTTTCACCTGAATCGATGAGTATTATTGTTTTTGGCCCTAGAACAACTGTTCACCTTAGTATTGGAGTACCTGCTCGGCTCGACTGCATAGTTGTTGGAGGCTCTGCCGCCACGACTGTCGACTGTCGACTGCTTTTCGATTTTTCTATATAAAAGCCCAGATTTTTCGCTAGCTGCTCATTTCGAGAACGAAACTCTAATTGCGAGCCGTTTGCTGTCGTCGTCGGGTTGTGCTGTTTGAATTTTAGATGTCGTTGTGATTGTTTTCTGTGCGGTATTATCGTCGGAATCAAATCGCTTGAATAATAATCGAATTATACGTTAGTAGCCCATAGATCTGATCGGAAGTGGGACTTTTCTCCCATCGTTGTTACGTGACAGGTGTTGCAATGTTTTAATAAAAAGGCCATCGCGCTTTAAGCCTTGATCGAAAGAAACGACGGTCGCCAAAAAAGCCGGTTAGGCATTGAATTGGGTTCAAGAATTTGGCCATAACCAAGCACAGCGAACATGGTCGAGAAGGCCTCGAATGCGTTTACGCTGGAAAAGCTACGCAATCTGCAATGGCAAAAAGTATTTCATATGTTTTACATAGAACCGGTTGTCTTCATGCTGCTCTTCTCGCACACACTTTCGGGTGAGTTCCAGCGATCCATTCCAAACGGAGTTCACCGTAACTAGTGTCTACCCACTATCCGGACAGGTACTATCCAGCGCAACCAGGTCATCTATCAAACGTGTACGGTGATTTTCCATTACAATGAATCGGATTGCAAGCTATTGGACTCGAAGAATGCCAGTTCTGAAATTAATGTGGGTTTTAAAGGGTTTCATATCACAGAAGATGAATCCTAACTCCTTTTCTTTTATCCTTTTCAAAGGCCATTGAAACGGAAGTCCAGCCCTATGTGGCTAATCTCTTTCTGACTAGAACTCTACTGGAGAGCATCGTTCCGGCTTTTTGTGGACTTTTCATTGGATCCTGGTCGGATCATTATGGAAGAAAGCCACTACTCATTGTCTCCATGATAGGTAAGTTTTCCGACTTTACTAGAAATAGTTAATATTTATGGGTATATAGGTAATATATTTGTGTAAAACTCTGTAAGACTTCTGTTTTAGAAAATTTATAGCTTCACGTTCAGTTAACTTTTATTTATATAAAAACCCATCAAATAATAGATGAACTTAGCTTTTTCATACCGTAATTCTTACCTTTAAAATAAAAAAAACAATTATACAATTATTTTTAATTTCCGCATTCCATTAATTTCTTGTAGGATTTTCACTATCCTTCCTAATGATGGCTGCCATCTGTGAACTATCTAGCTATTATGTGATAAATCCCTGGTGGTACATCCTGGCGGCAGTGCCACACTCTATCCTCGGAGGAAACTGCGTCTTTTCGGTGGCCGCCTTTTGCTTCATTTCGGACATTACGGATTGTAAATCTCGGCCATACCGTATGATCTTTATGGAGTCATTATTTTTTATCGGCCTGACCAGCGGATCCCTGCTGTCCAGTTTCGTTTATGCCGCGGCTGGCTCGGCTGCCACTATAGGATTATCCGGATGTATCGTGACCTTTGCTACAATCTTTATCATATTCTTTGTTCCGGAGAGCCTGCACTTCCGACAGTCTCAGGAAGCGAAAGCTGCGGTCATCGCCAATGGCGAAAAGGATGGCAAGGAGAAGGATGTGCCCATGACCGCCTGCGATCTGCAACTGGATCGCGTGGCCATCGATTGTCCACCCAACTTCATGGGCGACGAACATCCGGAGAAGCCCAATCCGTTGGAGAAGAACCGCGCTGTAACCTGTGAGCTGGCCACTCCGGCCACGCCGGCTATGAGCTTCGACGAGGATCTGCTGGCCAAGTATGTGGAACGCCTGCCCCCGAAAGCGGAGGAGAAGCAGCGGAAGCAGACAGAGGAGCGGGTCCAGAAGGCCGGACTGTTCAGTACGGTTCACATCAAGGACATGATCAGCACCTGCTTCAAGCCTAGAGAGCATAATGCCCGGGCCATCATCTGGCTCGTCACCCTGGCCATGTTCCTGTCCATTTTTGTTTTTGGTGAGTGCAGTTGCACGATTATTTAATTAATTTGTAAATCTTATTCGAAAATCACCTTAGATGGCGTGATGACGGTCATGTATTTGTTTGTTCGCGAAAAATTCCATTGGACTGTGCGGGATTACACGTTCTTTGAGACGGTCAGCCATTTGGTGCCCATGATTGGAGCACTAATAGGGTTCCTTATCCTCCGCAAGGTGAGTCATCCGCAGGAATAGTAGAGGTGTTGGATGTATTCACATTTGAATCATTATCAGGTGTTCCGACTGTCGGTAGTAACCTTAGCTCTGTTGGCCTTCTTCTCGGAAATCCTTAAAAATCTAGTTAAGGGTTTCGCCACAATGCCCTGGCATATGTACCTTTCTGTGGCTCTGGGAGTCTTTCGATCCATTTCCGGACCCATGTGTCGCACAATAGTTTCGAATATAGTACCGCCATCGGATCTGGGTGAGTATTATTTTATGAATTTAGCAGTCAGCAGGTGTTTTTTTTTTTTTAACTAGTTACATAAATGGCAATGAAACCATTTTTTATTTCTTGCAGGTAAAATTTTTTCCATCAAAAATGTTTTGCAGTCGTTCGCACCTTTCGGTGAGTAGAGCCAGTGCCGTTTAATTATATTTATTGACCATTTTACCGCTAATTACAGTCGCCGCCCCCCTGTACACCCTGATATATAAACGGTCCCTAACCACCTACCCGGGTCTGTTCAACTTCGTCAGTTCGTTCCTGTACTTGATGTCGTTCGTGTTTATCGGGTAAGCTAAGACTTTTGGTCGAAAGCCGAGGAAAGCCCCTCCTCGCCCAGTGCCCCAAATGCGTTAATTAACCAAGATCACACCTCATTCCCATCCCTTCACCTCCCAGGTGTGTCTTGCGCATCAAGTACCGGCACAAGCAGCACTACGCCAAGGTTCTCAAGTGAGACGGATCCGAAAAAGTGGCCAAATTAACATGTGATCGCCTGGAGCCAAGCTCAAATCGCTTACGAGCGGAGCGAATTTATTGAAAACGCGTCTTCTGGACTGCAACGGATCACCAGTCATTGGTTATGAGTCAATGGTCTTTGACTTGTCTATTTATATGTATTTTAAAACTTAGAGTTTGTTATCTACTTTAAGGTATCGTTAAGTTTTACTATTAAAATAGTTGTACTTAGATCTTCACCTCATAAAATCTAAAAATTCAAAAACTATATTTCAGTTTTAAATGAGGAAAGTCGCTTCTGTGTTCGCTGATTTCAAAATGGTACTTTGTTTCCCGATCGGATACAAATTGACAGAGCTATGACCATCGCAAGGGGCAAAAGTGGGGATATTGGAAAAACCCAAAATTTTATGGGGGTACCCCTAGGAAAAATTCGAAAAATTTCAAAACTATATTTGGGCAATGTTTTGAATGAGGAAAGTCGCTTCTGTGTTCGCTGATTTCAAAATGGTACTTTGTTTCCCGATCGGATACAAATTGATCGAGCTATGGCCATCGCAAGGGGCAAAAGTGGGGATATTGGAAAAACCCAAAATTTTATGAGGGTACCCCTAGGAAAAATTCGAAAAATTTCAAAACTATATTTGGGCAATGTTTTGAATGAGAAAAGTCGCTTCTGTGTTCGCTGATTTCAAAATGGTACTTTGTTTCCCGATCGGATACAAATTGACAGAGCTATGGCCATCGCAAGGGGCAAAAGTGGGGATATTGGAAAAACCCAAAATTTTATGAGGGTACCCCTAGAAAAATTCGAAAAATTTCAAAACTATATTTGGGCAATGTTTTGAATGAGGAAAGTCGCTTCTGTGTTCGCTGATTTCAAAATGGTACTTTGTTTCCCGATCGGATACAAATTGATCGAGCTATGGCCATCGCAAGGGGCAAAAGTGGGGATATTGGAAAAACCCAAAATTTTATGAGGGTACCCCTAGGAAAAATTCGAAAAATTTCAAAACTATATTTGGGCAATGTTTTGAATGAGAAAAGTCGCTTCTGTGTTCGCTGATTTCAAAATGGTACTTTGTTTCCCGATCGGATACAAATTGACAGAGCTATGGCCATCGCAAGGGGCAAAAGTGGGGATATTGGAAAAACCCAAAATTTTATGAGGGTACCCCTAGGAAAAATTCGAAAAATTTCAAAACTATATTTGGGCAATGTTTTGAATGAGGAAAGTCGCTTCTGTGTTCGCTGATTTCAAAATGGTACTTTGTTTCCCGATCGGATACAAATTGACAGAGCTATGGCCATCGCAAGGGGCAAAAGTGGGGATATTGGAAAAACCCAAAATTTTATGAGGGTACCCCTAGGAAAAATTCGAAAAATTTCAAAACTATATTTGGGCAATGTTTTGAATGAGGAAAGTCGCTTCTGTGTTCGCTGATTTCAAAATGGTACTTTGTTTCCCGATCGGATACAAATTGACAGAGCTATGGCCATCGCAAGGGGCAAAAGTGGGGATATTGGAAAAACCCAAAATTTTATGAGGGTACCCCTAGGAAAAATTCGAAAAATTTCAAAACTATATTTGGGCAATGTTTTGAATGAGGAAAGTCGCTTCTGTGTTCGCTGATTTCAAAATGGTACTTTGTTTCCCGATCGGATACAAATTGATCGAGCTATGGCCATCGCAAGGGGCAAAAGTGGGGATATTGGAAAAACCCAAAATTTTATGAGGGTACCCCTAGGAAAAATTCGAAAAATTTCAAAACTATATTTGGGCAATGTTTTGAATGAGGAAAGTCGCTTCTGTGTTCGCTGATTTCAAAATGGTACTTTGTTTCCCGATCGGATACAAATTGACAGAGCTATGGCCATCGCAAGGGGCAAAAGTGGGGATATTGGAAAAACCCAAAATTTTATGAGGGTACCCCTAGGAAAAATTCGAAAAATTTCAAAACTATATTTGGGCAATGTTTTGAATGAGGAAAGTCGCTTCTGTGTTCGCTGATTTCAAAATGGTACTTTGTTTCCCGATCGGATACAAATTGACAGAGCTATGGCCATCGCAAGGGGCAAAAGTGGGGATATTGGAAAAACCCAAAATTTTATGAGGGTACCCCTAGGAAAAATTCGAAAAATTTCAAAACTATATTTGGGCAATGTTTTGAATGAGGAAAGTCGCTTCTGTGTTCGCTGATTTCAAAATGGTACTTTGTTTCCCGATCGTATACAAATTGACAGAGCCATGGCCATCAAAAGGGGCAAAAGTGGGGATATTGGAAAAACCCAAAATTTTATGAGTGTACCCCTAGGAAAAATTCGAAAAATTTCAAAACTATATTTGGGCAATGTTTTGAATCAGGAAAGTCGCTTCTGTGTTCGCTGATTTCAAAATGGTACTTTGTTTCCCGATCGGATACAAATTGACAGAGCTATGACCATCGCAAGGGGCAAAAGTAGGGATATTGGAAAAACCCAAAATTTTATGAGGGTACCCCTAGGAAAAATTCGAAAAATTTCAAAACTATATTTGGGCAATGTTTTGAATGAGGAAAGTCGCTTCTGTGTTCGCTGATTTCAAAATGGTACTTTGTTTCCCGATCGGATACAAATTGACAGAGCCATGGCCATCAAAAGGGGCAAAAGTGGGGATATTGGAAAAACCCAAAATTTTATGAGGGTACCCCTAGGAAAAATTCGAAAAATTTCAAAACTATATTTGGGCAATGTTTTGAATGAGGAAAGTCGCTTCTGTGTTCGCTGATTTCAAAATGGTACTTTGTTTCCCGATCGGATACAAATTGACAGAGCTATGGCCATCGCAAGGGGCAAAAGTGGGGATATTGGAAAAACCCAAAATTTTATGAGGGTACCCCTAGGAAAAATTCGAAAAATTTCAAAACTATATTTGGGCAATGTTTTGAATGAGGAAAGTCGCTTCTGTGTTCGCTGATTTCAAAATGGTACTTTGTTTCCCGATCGGATACAAATTGACAGAGCTATGACCATCGCAAGGGGCAAAAGTAGGGATATTGGAAAAACCCAAAATTTTATGAGGGTACCCCTAGGAAAAATTCGAAAAATTTCAAAACTATATTTGGGCAATGTTTTGAATGAGGAAAGTCGCTTCTGTGTTCGCTGATTTCAAAATGGTACTTTGTTTCCCGATCGGATACAAATTGACAGAGCTATGGCCATCGCAAGGGGCAAAAGTGGGGATATTGGAAAAACCCAAAATTTTATAAGGGTACCCCTAGGAAAAATTCGAAAAATTTCAAAACTATATTTGGGCAATGTTTTGAAGGAGGAAAGTCGCTTCTGTGTTCGCTGATTTCAAAATGGTACTTTGTTTCCCGATCGGATACAAATTGACAGAGCTATGGCCATCGCAAGGGGCAAAAGTGGGGATATTGGAAAAACCCAAAATTTTATGAGGGTACCCCTAGGAAAAATTCGAAAAATTTCAAAACTATATTTGGGCAATGTTTTGAATGAGGAAAGTCGCTTCTGTGTTCGCTGATTTCAAAATGGTACTTTGTTTCCCGATCGGATACAAATTGACAGAGCCATGGCCATCAAAAGGGGCAAAAGTGGGGATATTGGAAAAACCCAAAATTTTATGAGTGTACCCCTAGGAAAAATTCGAAAAATTTCAAAACTATATTTGGGCAATGTTTTGAATCAGGAAAGTCGCTTCTGTGTTCGCTGATTTCAAAATGGTACTTTGTTTCCCGATCGGATACAAATTGACAGAGCCATGGCCATCAAAAGGGGCAAAAGTGGGGATATTGGAAAAACCCAAAATTTTATGAGGGTACCCCTAGGAAAAATTCGAAAAATTTCAAAACTATATTTGGGCAATGTTTTGAATGAGAAAAGTCGCTTCTGTGTTCGCTGATTTCAAAATGGTACTTTGTTTCCCGATGGGATACAAATTGACAGAGCTATGGCTATCCCAAGGGAAAAAAGTGGGGATATTGGAAAAACCCAAAATTTTATGGGGTACCCCTAGAAAAAATTCGAAAAATTTCAAAACTATATTTGGGCAATGTTTTGAATGAGGAAAGTCGCTTCTGTGTTCGCTGATTTCAAAATGGTACTTTGTTTCCCGATCGGATACAAATTGATCGAGCTATGGCCATCGCAAGGGGCAAAAGTGGGGATATTGGAACAGTCCAAAATTTTATGAGGGTACCCCTAGGAAAAATTCGAAAAGTTTCAAAACTATATTTGGGCAATGTTTTGAATGAGGAAAGTCGCTTCTGTGTTCGCTGATTTCAAAATGGTACTTTGTTTCCCGATCGGATACAAATTGACAGATCTCTGGCCATTGCAAGGGGCAAAATGGCAATATTCTAAATAATTCTAAATATTTTTAGATTGATACCAATTCGTACAGTTGTACAATTTTTGTTAAATTTTTTGTTGGGTTCGACTTGAAGAAATGTTTGTTGCTTCAGGGTTTAGGCATTGATGTTTGATTAATATTTAACATATTGAGTGTGGTCATGGCGATTGAATAATAAAAACAATTTGTATATCCCTCACGAATACCTCATAGGGATTTTTTCGCATACAACTGGTGCGTGACCAAACCGAAAAATATCATTAACTGAGCTATTATGATTAAAGAAGGCCGAGGTCAATAAACTTTGTTGTTTTGAAAGAATTCCAACACAACCAAGTTAGAATTTGAGAGCACTATTTGTTTGCACGTTTTTAATGCAATCTGGTTGGGATTCTTTGTGATTCCGACCTACTTTCGATGGGAAAACGGGTTGGACATCCGCCGAATTACGCAAACAGTAGCTATTATGGCTGTAAAACCCCAATTAACGTCTACAAGTGAAACGATTTTTATTTCAGAAAAGTTTCTTAGTTTTTTTTTCATTTACGCGTATATACAATAAAAGTAAATACATGAGACATTTGTCTTTGGTTAGGCAGTATTAATTATTAGACTTTGGGATTGACGTACCTACTCTTTACATATTTAAGCCTAATTGATTTTACAAATATTTACAATAATACTTACAAACGATTTACAAATTTTCTCGCTGTCGTCAGCGAGACATTACATATTTAAATTGTTCATTATGGAATATTTATCGTTTAAAATTAAAATTAAGATTATAAAACCTGGTACACACCAGTGCCAACCATTGATTTTTGAATTCCAAAGACCACTCTGCAAGACATTTGTTATATTAGACATATTATTATTTTAAATCCCAATATATACTTACGCCGACATAATATAGCACATGGAGTAGAGTCCCACACTTATAAAGTTGAAGACCCCAGGATAAACCTCTACTGTGGCCTTATATACGGCCGTATATAGAGGAGCTGCCCCCAGTGGTGATATGGATTGCAATGAAGTGGTCAGAGAGAAGACTTTACCTAGAAAGAGGACAAAAATCTGTGAGATTATGGATATAAGATTATTGTTACAAAAAAAACTTACCCAATTCTGAACTTGGGGTCACATTTGATAAGATGGCTTTCGACATGGGCGACATGACTCCCCGCATCATTCCCACGACCAGAGCCAAGTACATTTCGCTTCGATACACTGCGGTAGCCCGGACAGTGGCCTCCAGGATGCAGCAGGCAAAGGCCAGGAGCGTCATGGATATATTGGACAGACCAAACAGACGGCGAAGCAGGATCATGGCTATAATGCTACCCACTATTTGGATTACAACGCGGGCAGAATTAAAAATACTATAGTCCTGAACTGTATAATCGAATTGCTTTCTCATAAACATATAGTTTACTGTGCCCTCGCCCTCTGTTGAATAGTAAGTTAATCATTTGAAGTCCAAACTTATCAGAAATACTTACCCATGGCAAAGACACACAAGGCCAGGGACATGATCACCATTCCTATAATAGCCCGATCATAGTTCTCACGCTTTCGGATACAAGTCCTAACGAGGTCCTTTGCCAGATCCAGGCGGAAAAACTCTCTGATGCGGGACTTTAAGAGGAAGGTTATTAGTTTTAATTTAAACAAATTATTATTACTAATTCTTACCCCAGTTTGTATGTTTTCGGACTTAAGACTCTCCTTTACAAAGTAGACATAGACTAGAGCCAAGAATATAATAGAACCTACGAGGATATACAGGATGGAGGCTCCAATGGAGGCATAGATATACCCACTAGCCACTCCGCCTGCTAGCATGCCCAAGCCCAAACAAGCCTCCATGGTCACCATTCTGAAATCGTTATACAAAAGATTAATAAATATTATAAGGCACTAATTATAAAAATATTATAAAATATATATTATATTATAAAATGTATATGCAGTTTATGGCTATAGCCCTGTTTACCTCATGGCTCGCTTATCCTCGGTGGCCACATCGGAAACATGGCAATAGAGAATGGTGATCAGGGCACAAGTACCGCCACTGAAGATCATTGGGACGGACGAAAGCAGGAACCACCAGGGACTAATGCTGGTGGCCCTCGCTATTTGTGTAAGTACGATCATTATAATTGCACTTGTGAGGTAACCTAGATAGAAAGAAATATAAATAAATTAAATTTTAAAAAGTAAACTTGGCTTACCTGTGTAAGTAGAAAGAAGGATGGGTCTCCGGCCAAATTTATCCGACCAGGGGCCCAGAAACAGACTTACGATGGCGGGAACAGCACTCTCCATCATAGTACTGATCATGGTTATTGTAGAAGCATATTCCTGAACTTGGCCCTCGATCTTCTGTGAATAAAAGTTGTAATTACTATAGGATTTTCTATAAATGATAACCCGAAAACACTTCCGTCACGTTTCCGTGACTCATTCGGTTTTGGGGGTGGAGAATATGGAGCGATTCTACTATCTCGACACATTCACCTATAATATCTATTCCCAATTTGTGTACTGGGTCGATAATACCCTTTTGTGTGATAAGTCGCGCCAATTAGTCATAAACAATTGGTGTTTTTCTTTTGTTTTAGTCAATTGATAAGCAACAGGTGGCAAAAAAAATATATGGGAATGAATTTTAACTTAAACCTTTGTTATTTATGCAGGGGATTTGAAAATACAAACCCTCTTAACAAAAGACCTTGATTATAGAAAACAATTTTGGTTTCCTATAAGTTCATTCTTCTTTCTGCACTTTTAACAACAAATAATAGATTTTTTCTTAATTATTTATGCATTTCTAGAATCAACAAAAGCTTGCCCACTTGCCTTAACTTGGTCGGAAGCACGATCTGTGCCGAGAAATGGCTCACACTCGGTGGCATTATATTTCATGATCGTGACGCAGGTATGGTAGAGTATCTGATTTTGATATACAGCATCTAGAGGAGGTAAGGGGTTAGTGAATGTTTCTATTGCAAATCAAAGTTAATCGTACACACCTGCTAGAAACTTTCCGAAGAAAACTAAAAACACGGCGGGCTCCAGCAGCAGAGTTCGTGGCTTCAGTCGGCTGAAAAAGGTCTGATTTGAAGGCGGGGGCCCAAATCCGGTTTCTAGTGGCTCGTCATCGTCGCTGCCAATTATAGGCTCCTCATCTACTCGTGGCATGCTGCTCAGTTTACAATTAAAGCCTTATCGTGTAACAGATATCCAGCTGACTGATCGCTAGACAAAGGAATTAGCTATTCATTCAGCCTCAAAGTATATCGTAGAACCGCCAAGTGGGGGGCAGACTATGAATGGGGCAGACCTCCGAACGGGCCGAACTCTAGCGATACACTAAACGCTGGGAACAGCTGAAATTGGCGACGTAAACAAACAAAGCGAGCGATTCCCAATTCGAACATACCAAGTCGCTAGCTTCGCCCTATCGCCAACGCCTCTCTCCAACGCGGAGAACCAACCCCTTTGGCGGCTTATCTGGCCCATGTGTACACAAACATACTTAGTTATTTCGTCTATTTACAGTTTATTGTCCCACTGCATACTTTAAGTTATATTTTATATTACTCTTAACTTTACAATGCTTGCACATGCAAAACACAGTCAGATAGCAAAAACATCGGTACAGATACACGCATTCAGATAAAAAATTATTATAATACTTGTACAAAATACAGGGGATACAAACACAAATCTGATGTATACAAAACTTTTTGATTGAGAGTGGTCTGACGGAATTCAAACTATGAGATACATTTATCCAATTCGATCTCAACGGATATGGTTAACTGCCTATGGCCTGGTAAACACTGGTGTTGACCAACGTTTTCTGGATGCCGAAAATCACACTGTAAAAAAGGGTTCATTAGTTGTCATATATAATTTAGTTGTGGGAAAAACTTACGCTATGAGAATGTAGCACAGAAAGTATAGTGCCGCGCTGATAAAATTAAAAGCTCCCGGATAATATTCCACTGTTTTCCTGTACACTATTGTGTAGAGAGGAGCAGCTCCCAGTGGCGAAACAGATTCCATAGAGGTGGTCAAGGCGAATATTTTTCCTAGAATTTTAAAATTATGTTAGTGGTAATCAAACTTTGCTAATAAAACTTTGAGCTGTTACTTACCAACTTCCGTGATGGGTGCAACGTGCGAGAGAATAGCACGGCACATGGGCCCCATGACGCCGCGCATCATTCCCAAAGTCATTCCCAGGTACATTTCCTGCCAATAAACGGCAGTCGCTCGTACTGTGCTTTCCAAAACGCAGCAGGCAAGGGACAGCATAGCCATAGAAACAATTGACACTTTTAGGATGCGACGGAGAATTATCATGCCAACAATACTGCCCACGATCTGAATCACTATACGGGATGCGTTGAAAAGGCTAAAGTCCTTGATGGTCCAGTTGAACTTCTCCTGCATGAACATGTAGTTGACAGTTCCTTCGCCCTCTGCAAAGTCAGTTGCATTGAGATGTAGTCCTAGTTAAGTTTATATGTACTTACCCATATCGAATATGGCTATTGTCAGGGCAATCATTGTCAGCCAAATAATGGCCCGATCGAAATTGGGTCGTCTTTTAATGGCAGTGTAGACGAGATCTTTCACCAAATCAAAGCGGAAGAACTCTCGCATTCGGGACTAGAAAATTATACTTGAAGTAAGAACAATCCTACAATAGGTTTTGTAACAAGACCCTTACACCACTGTGAATATTCGCAGGATTTAAGCTCTCAGGAACAAATAGAAAGACGAACGCCAAGGCCAGAGCCATCAGGGAACCAGCAATGGCGAATAGAGTGACGGCATTCGTGGCAGCATAAATGTAACCACTGGCCACATTACCCACCATCATGCCCGTGCACAGAGAAGCCTCATTAAGAACCATTCTAAAGTTGGGGAAATAAATCAAATGTTTAAAATACTTGATTGATATTAATTATTTTAGTTTACCTAAAACTCTTTTCGTTCTCGGTCACATCAGATATGTAGCAATAGATTCCTGTGATCAAGGCACACGTTCCCCCACTCAAGACCGAAGGAACCGACGACAACAGGAACCACCAAGGGCTAATGTTGGTAGACATTGTTATCCAAGTTATAACAATTAGTATACAGGCGCCGGTAAGATAGCCTAAAATAATATTTAAATATTATAAACGGCCTTAGAATAATTCATAGACATACTAACCTGTAAAAGTAGTTAGGAGAACGGGCCTCCTCCCAAACTTGTCCGACCAGGGACCCAGGAACAGGCTCACAAAGGCCGGTATTATGCTCTCCAATAAAGAAGTCGCCATCATAATATTCGCAGAATATTTTTGTACTACAACTTCAATTTTCTAAAATAAAATATAAACGGTTGTATGAGTCATTCCACATCAACAGAAAGCTAAAATTATATATATTTATATATATTATTTAAACGGTCTAGTAAAGTTCGATACCTTTATTACAGTTAGTCATAAAAAACTTTTTATTTTTGCTATTTTGCACGATGATAAGCCTTGAACGTTGTTCCAAATGCATTATCTCCGAGCACTTAACTTTATAGGCTAAACAATGGAACTTAAATTAGATTAATCTGACTTGCTTTGTTGCCTAGATTTCACTTTGTCTTTAATCAGGCTACTCGTTAGTTCACTTGTAGGTCAAGATTTAGAAGCATCATAGGATTATTGTAAACCAAATTATTTAATATATATGCTTTTATATATAAAATATAATATACATATCATATAATCGAAAGCTTAAGTATCTAGCTTCAAATAAAAATACTATAAAGAAGAGCTTTTGTAATTACAGTCTAAAATTTCACTACACGCCCCACAAACCATACTAAAACCCGTCATAGCAAAGATAAAACTTGCAAAAAAAAACAGACATGTACATAGGAAAATATAAAATTCCAAAGCTGACAGACTATCGTCTATTCAGACTTCCTTGGAATCGACATATTATTTACTTACTTTAACCTCATCCGTTCCACGATCAATGCCCAGCAACGGCTCGCATTCCGTGGCATTAAACTCCATGATGGTGACACAGGTCTGGTAGAGGATTTGATTTTGGTAAACCGCCCCTAAAAAGTCATAGTTTTTATTAAATTTAGAACCTCAGAGACCACAGAGAATCTTCTCCCATTACATACCAATTAAATATCTAGCGAAGAAGATGAGAAAAACTGCGGGCTCCAGGATGAACCAGCGGTAACTTCTACGATCATGCTTCGGGGGTGGGGGAGCCTCGGTGTTGCTGGACGGAGATATTACGGCAGGGTTCAGACTGCGTGGCTCTGGGATCGGTGCATCCTCCACCTTGCCCACCAGGCCCTCAGTATCATCGCGCGGCATATCTCTGGCGGAAATTAACGATTCGTCTGTCTCAGTGGATTACTGATAGCGGATTTAGCAAATCATTCAACGTTAATTCAATAATGCAACGCAGTTAATATAAATAGCGACTTCCGAGCGTGACGAAGAGGATCGAGATACTGAAGCTTCAGTTCCAGCTGCTGCTGTGGCGGCAGAATCGCGCTGTATATTTTTTAAACCGAACGCCGCTCGCTGAAACAGAACACAGCGAACTGAATTTTCAGATATTCCCGTCTGCGTCACAATGTTTATAAAAACTTTCTAATAGCAACAAAGAAAACAGCTGATTGTGTTTACCACTGATTACGGACGGTGCTGCCAACTCGGCGCGCATTAAAATACCAGAGATTTAATTTTTTCAAAGTTTTTACTAGTCAGTTACTAAAATTATTTAAACTTATTTTAGTAGCGGCGCCGTTCGCGTTCTCCCCGCGAATCCCGCTCCCGCTGTTCGTGCCGACTGCCTCGGTCGCGGTCTCGTTCACGTTCACGTTCACGATCCCATTCTCGGTCTCGGTCCCGGCGATCCCTTTCGCCGTATCGGTCCCTATCCTGGCGGTCACGGTCACGCTCCCGCTCTCGCATCCTGTCCCGGTCCTGGCGCTCCCGGTCTCGATCCTGCCGGCGGTCATGGTCATCGAACTGGGGCTCTCGGTTACGGGCCCGATTACGCTGTCGATCGTACTCCTCCAGTTCGTCGTAGTAGTCTCTGGAGCGGTTGCTGCTCTGCGCTGGTCGGCCGCCGCGATCCCTACTACGTGACCTGGACTTGGAGCGAGCTCTTCTAGGTCGTCGCACGGATGAAGAGTCTTTGTCCTTCGTTCGACTCGCCTCCTTTTCGTCTGCCTTTTCCTCGTCGCTCGGTAGTTCGTCATCCAGATCTTCATCCAGGACCGAGACTTTCGGCTCAATTTCGTTGTTCTCTTCCAGAATAGAACGCTTTTGGATTCGTGGCAGTATGATGTCGCAGACACGGTCATTGCGCAGCAGCTCGTCTATGTACTCGTCCATGTAAACAATTTCAAACTGGCCGGCACGGTTCTGGCGCCGTAATTTCCGATTGTCGATGTACAGAGGCTCCAGGTATTTGTAGCAGTCCAGTGCAGCGCCCGTGAGTCTCAGGTAGAAGGCACCTAGAGCGCGTACATACTTGAACTCCTCGTTCTTGATGAACTCCACAACGATGTCCTTTTCCGGCTGGATTTGCAGCATTTTCAGAGTCAGGCAAAGGAACTGAGTGGGCTTGATGTTACCGCCATAGACGCCGCCCACAAAACGAAGTTCCATGGCCTTGTCGACCAGCAACTCCGCCGTAAGAGCAAAGCATTGCTCCTTCCAGTACTTTGAATCGTAGATGCGGGACCGGATGATCTTTTCGATGAGGTATTGTGGATTGGTGCCGTGCACGTTTTTCGCCTCCTTGACTGTGCGGTTTGCCATGACGCGATGAATCAACTAGCCTTTGTTTTGGGTTGTCCTACAGCCGCCAGTGAAAATGATGAGTCCTGGTGTCGCCCAGGAATTATAAATATAAAAATTGCAATATTTTTATTTATTTTCGGCGTCCGCAGCGTAGAGTGGCCAGCTTAAGACAGAATTAAAATATCAAAAAAATACCAAAATATACTGCCAGAAGGCGATAACAGAAACAATCGCTATCGGATGACGCATCGCATCGCCTATTGAACAAAAACAGCTCGCCAGACAGCAAAAAAAAACGCAATAGCTGGAAAAAGGAATTTCTGGACAGGATTTCTGAAGAGTAGGAGTACCAAAGCACACAGCCAGGATGAGTTTCTTCGGGAAAATGTTTGGCGGCAAGAAGGAGGTGGCCCCCACAACGGGCGAGGCGATACAGAAGCTGCGAGAGACTGAGAACATGCTTATCAAGAAGCAGGAGTTCCTCGAGGCCAAGATCGAGGACGAGCTGAATATAGCTCGCAAGAATGCGTCCAAAAACAAACGAGGTATGTAGGTGGATGGTGGACACCGGATTTCCCGGATAATCAAGCGGTCGAACGCTTGTGTGGCAAGTGTCTGGAAAAAATGACTCATTGTTGTTTTTTTTGTTTGTGGCTGAGGCCTTTCAATTAATCAGCCACCACCACCGCTAGCAATAGAATATTCAATAAAACAATCTGTATTTCTTCGCTCCTTTTCACCCGCATACCATTTGATGCCTGGACGTGTCCGCAAACGCTAAGAACGTAATATAAACATTCCTTTTGATATCAAACAACAAACATAAGCCATGCCATAGAGTAATTAGAAACCACGCTTAGCAAAATTGGCCATCTCACAAATATAAACAAATCAATTATTATTTGAATATCCACTTATTTGCTGTCTTGACACTTTTCAGTGGCCCTGCAAGCGCTCAAAAAGAAGAAGCGCCTGGAGAAGCAGCTCCAACAGATCGACGGCACACTGTCCACCATTGAAATGCAGCGTGAGGCTCTGGAGAGCGCCAACACAAACACTGCCGTCTTGACCACAATGAAGGGAGCTGCCGACGCTCTCAAGAGCGCCCACCAGAATATGTAAGATTCGAAAGTCAAACGAAAATGATCCATAAATTAACCAATAATGTTCTTACAGGGATGTGGACAAGGTGCACGACATGATGGACGATATTGCCGAGCAGCAGGACGTGGCCCGCGAAATATCCGATGCCATTTCCAACCCTGTGGCCTTCGGGGCAGATCTCGATGACGAGGACCTCGAGCGGGAACTCGATGAACTCGAACAGGAGAACTTTGATAAGGAAATCATTGGTATTCCCGAGCCGACACCAACATTGCCAGAAGCACCTACAGAAGATTTGCCTGAGAAGGCCAAGGAGAAGAAGAAGGCGGCTCCAACGACAGCAGTGGCTGACGATGGTGAGTAATACGGGCACAGTGTTCGTGTTATCAGTTCTTAATATATACTAACTCTCTTCCAGATGACCCAGACATGAAGCAACTCTTGTCCTGGTCCACCTAAATTATCGAGCTACTGAAATCTCCTCACTGTTCTGCAAATTCACCCCAGACCCAAGCGTTTTGTTTTAATTAAATAATCTATTATCATAAGCCAAAATTTTAGTTCGAAGCGAAGGAGAGATGAAATAAGGCATTAATTCCTTTGGCAGTATATCAAATGGTACATTAAATAGGCATGTGATTTAACAAATAAATGATGAAACTTAGTCGGGCCATGCATCAGTAACTGGTAGCTGCAAAAAACAGTGATTTCAATGATATTTGATACTTTCACAGAATTTAGTTCATTTCGCTCAAGAAAATGGCTTCAAGTGTCGCATGCGCCTATATGACAGGATATATCAAAGGATTACAAATGCAATAATCCAACCAAGCCACGTTATTAAAAATTTATTTCATTTTCAGTCAGATAGCTTTGTATTCAATAAATCAAATAAGTAATAAAAAAATCTATAAAATTAATATTGTTTGAGCAATTTTTTTTTAAATGGGATTAAGCAAATGTTTCCAGTTATTTTAAATAACAAAAGAAAGTATTTTTAAAACCCACATTTTCAAACACCACTGGTTTTTGAACTGCATATATATATTTGAGTAGATTTTTATTAAAAATTGATCGATTGTACATCAATATCATTGTCTATAATCTATGTAACACGGACTCGTCTATATTTTGGTCAAAGGTATGAAAGGCACTCAGGTCTGCTGCCTCAGACTCTTCACATAGCGTACTGGGACTTCCGGCAGATAAACGGAGACAAAGAACATTAATGGCCCGAACAGAATCATGCAGATCAGCCAGTAGATCATGCCAAAAATAGTTATGGCGTCCATATATGTATGTAAAGGTATTATGCGGGATGGTCGATCGGACAGTACGGTTACAAATAAGTGGGGATAATGAATGTCTTGTGTGTATAAACTTAAATAAATAACTAATATCACTAAACACCGGACTCGGCTAATGGAGATTGTGCAACAAGGCAAAAGGCTGTTGTTGCAGCTAGCGCTCCGATGTTCCTAAAAGGGTTACATATATATATATTATTGCAGGTCACTTTAGATTTGGATAACGAGACATCTGACGAAATGGCTATGCTGACACTCTGCTGTCCAGATCCTCACTCGTCGTCGTTTTAATCTTCAAGCGCGCCACCTGAAACGAAAGATCGAATTGCATCAGTTATGATTCGGTTATTGGGTTTTGGGATATACTATATTGGGAACACGGATATTACGGCCTGCTTTCGGAAAGTATGTCCAGCTGCTACTGGCCAGCTGCTCCACTGAATCACGCACTTTATACGACCTGACCACCAAGGCCCACGCCCAGCTTTGTTATTTTCGGGGCTGTCCCCAATCACATCATAAACGGGGGATATTCTCATCCGCTCTGAGCGCCAACTTATTCGCAACTGAGACCCCAGACAGCCAGCCACTCAACTGGTTTTGCATTTACAGTCTAGATCTGTGACCACAATGCTCAGAACTTTGAGCCAGAAACCAAACAAAGCTCAAAAACGCGCCCGTTCAAGGTGAGCACTCGAATCTATGACCGCACAAACTGGTTCTCCAGCCACCGGAGAACGTTCATTTACGGTCTATAAACTTTTTAATTAAAAGTTTTAGAACCACTTAGGTCCCTTATAATCAATAATTGCAGCCATTGAACTGTTGTTATCAAACAGTCAAAATTGGAAATGCATCCAATATGTCTCATGAGCCTAGGGTCTTTGGGTTTCCATGTACAGAGACTGATAAGACCTTCGAAGATAATCGAAATATTTCTTAGACCCAAGTAAACAACATAATAAAACCTCTTTAAAAGGCCTGGGGAAGTATATAACGAATAGGGGAAAACACAAAGATAAAGATACATATATACTTTTTAAAAGATTCAAGATAGGGAGGTTTCTTTAAAAGTATATACCATATCAACCTATATCTCTTAGATACTTACATGATATAAAAGTAACTATCACTGTCCTTCCGCTTGGCATCACACGGATTGGCACTCTTGCTGGCCGAGAAAGTGGAGGTAGTGGGATCCGGATCTGCCTGTTGGGAGCTAGTGCTCCAGCTGCGTCCCCAGCGACTACTAATGGCGGAGCCCAGACCATTCGACTGCTGGTTGTTGGCCATGTTGGTGTCTTTGCTGGAACCGGCGAAGAACGACTTTACGCTATCCATGGTGCGACCCTCGATGCTGATTTCACTCCGATTGGCTGGATGTGTATGTGTCGAGCCTCCACAGAAACGCCCGAAATTGATAATGCTAAAAATACACAATAATTTATTTATTTTGACTGAAATCTTGTTTTTTTTGGTGGGCTCGTGCCCACCATAGAGCTGTTTCCAAGTGTTGAACTTTTCGTTTTTTGGGTGTCGTCCGATCTAATTCGAATTAATTTTTGGTGCAGTTTGAAAAAACAAGTCAGTTATTGATAAGACCATATAGTATACATTAAATATTATTGTATCTACTTGAGGTAGCCATCTTGAAGGTGTTGTTTGTTTTAAAATCTATATGTATCGTCGAGTCTTTTGTCCATGCAGGTGTCTATATGGAGATATGCTAGGGCTGTTTAAACATGTTTTTGATAAAATTGCAAGTAAGTGGGAAATGCGTCGCAGTTTAAGGATCGTTTTGTATTTATAGGCGTGGTATAATAGAGTGATGGATGCCAAATACATACTATCAATTAGCAGTTCAAAACAGTTCACTGGCTGAGCTGATAAAGGTAGCCAATTCAACCGAACACGCGTCGCCCTCGGGAGCCATGGGAAATGTGTTGATTTTGAGTATTTGTTAGTGTTACTTAGTTGGTTAGTTGGACGTGGCATGATAAGGTAGTGAAGGCCCTAAAGGCCCTCAAGGAACCAGGCACACGACTTGGGTAAGACTCCAAAGGGCTGATAGTTGTTGATAACAAGCCACGAGGTCATGCCAGGAACACTGACCTACCGCAAATTCTCGCTTCCAAATGGCGACTTGGCGAATAACACGGCACTCTCAATCAAGACTCAATTCCAATTAATTTGACACAATTTGTCCAACTTCTTTCAGTGCACTCCAAAACACCCAACAGCGAGCCAGCCAGGAGGAGAACCGTTTTGCACAACCGTTTTGATCGCACTGAAAAAAGGCATGGCCTGCCATCGGCTCCGATGTGTGTTTAGTTTTAATCAATTTTTAAATGCGAAGGCGTCGGGTGTGGTGTTAGTGAAGAGTGCAAGTGTGTAGGTGCCACGCAGCACCCATACAAAGAGCTCTACTACAGAGAGAAAAATTATAGTATAGCTTTTGTTGAAAATTATTTTAGCTTCAAGAAAAAATATAAATAAATGGTGAGTAAATTAATGAAAATACTATATATCTTTCTATTATATGTTCTTTGTAAAAATAGGTTCTGTTCAAAGTCTAATTAAAACATTTTGTATATTATAAGTTGTTTATAATGCAAAACAGCACGAATTTAAAATATAGTGCCAAAACCTGTACGTGAGAAATCAATTAAGTTATTGAGAAATTATATAAAAAAAGAAACAAATTTTATTTTCCAGTCATGATAAGGTTTTTCCTCTGTGTATTTTTGTATGTATTTGTTTGGAGTGTCTTTGTTTGGGTGTTTCCAACGTCTGGAAGGCGTCTGGTTGCTTAGTGTTGGTTGTAGACTTTCCGAGGCGGTTTTTCTAGTTTGTTTTGATCCGCGTTTCTTCTTCAGAGACCATTTTATCAGATGCATTTGTTTTGGCACCTGAGCCCAGGGTCATGCTACCTGGTTCATCATACAGCAGCCTCGTAAACGAATTTCCGCCCTTGGCTCTTTGTTTTGCCACCGATTCTCCGTGTATCTCTATCTTTCTCTCCCGCTCGATCTTCGGTTTTTGTTGTGCTTCGATGCATGTTGATTGCTTTGGACTTTGGACCCTGACTTTTCCTCTGTTGTAATGTTTGCCTATACGCATTATTTAGCTCTAGGCGACAACAAAATGCTCTTTAAACTTTAATTAAAATAAAATTATTGGTTATTAAGTTCCAGTTGGCTATCTAGTTAAACTGGCTAATATTGGAAATTGTAAAATACTTCCGTGAAGTAAGATTTGTGCATGAAAAAAATTATACAAGTGATAAGATTTAGATTCAAAAGAAGCGGCCAATTTATGGTATTCTCGATAAAAGTTCGATAAAATCCTTTTGCCTAACGCGAAGTATTTCCCAAAACAGGTTGGCAGGCCATTACAATTCTTATCGATAACGCTACTCGCCAATAATAAAACTGCGAATTTACTGCTGTATATATGTAAAAATTGTTTATTATTAGCCATTTTTCTACGGTTCGACCGATTAAATAATGCAGTTTTCTGCCCAATAAATGCCAAAAATTGCTATTGCAATCCGAGAACCAACACCCGATAGCCGAAAAAGTGCCGTGCCAGCGAAACGCGGAAGCGAAAAAGGCCATAAGGCGAAAAGCGAGACTAGTGGAGGAAAACAAAGTGCCAAAACACCCGAGTAGGGGCCGTGACCTGTGAGGGAGCCAGCGAGAACGGCAATAAAAGTGCACTGCATGCAAACATGGGCAATGCGGGCAGTTCCACAGTGCACATGCGAGAGCGCCACAAGTCGACCGACCTCTCCACTCCGAGCTCTCCAGCAAATTTCCGCGACTCGGTTGCAGCTGCGGGTGGGGCAGGAGGAGGCGGCGGTGGCGCAGCAGCAGCTTTAGGCGGAGCCGGAGTGGGAGGCCAAGCTTTCTCGTTCGACAAGAAACACACGGCAGTCTTAAACGAGGGCTCGTCGCAAGAAGACGACGACCCATACTACGCGGGTACTGGAACTGGAGCGGGTACCAGGCGCACAGCTGATAGCGGCGAGGCAACAGCTGGCGAACACTCAATCATGGACAGCACTGAGGACGAGCACGCTGCGGCAACGGGATCCGGGAACTTATCCATCATCGGCAGCGGCGACGACGATGAACCCAAGAAGACTGCTCTGCCGACAGTTCTGCGATGGGATGGCGGTGGCAAGAATGTAACCATATCTGGTACCTTCTCCAACTGGAAGCCCATTTCAATGGTCCGCAGCCATGGTAACTTCGTGACCATCATCGATCTGCCGGAGGGCGACCATCAGTACAAGTTCTGCGTGGACGGGGAATGGAAACACGATCCTAAGCTGGTCAGTTGAGTGGAAAATCAATAGATTTTATCCTATATATTCACGATTCGGGCGCCCGAATGACGCAGTTACTGATTTTCGCGGCCGTTGTGTAATCGTCGTAAACAAAACGAAGTCCCCGGCCCCTAATCAGTAGTGGATTTCAATTGGGTTCAGAGATGCTCATCTGGCTTGGACTAGATTTTGTTTAGAGAAGCAATTATCAGAGGACTTTATGGCCACGAACTTGATAAAACAAATGAAATTGATAAAAAGGCAAGGGGAGAGCAGCTCCAAAGAAAAGTAGCTTATCTTACACAAGAATATTTTCTTTTTTAAACTAATTTTAACTTTACAAACTAATTTGTGCTTACAAACCATCTGTAAGATACTAATCTTATAATCGTTTTCCCAGTACTTGAAAAAAACACACCCATATAATTGTTTTCTGGAAATTAGACTCCCCCAGGCCTCCCTTTAATTTAAAAAGGGCTTCTTACGTCACCCTTTTTCATTGAAATAATTACGAAAAATTGATTTTCGAATTGCAATTACAGAAAAGCGTGGAGAATGACGAGGGCCAGAAGAATAACTTGGTATCGGTGCGAGCATCAGACTTTGAGGTCTTCCAGGCCTTGGCTAAGGACAGCGAGAACGTGACAAACTATGCCGAGAAGGAGTACTCGCAGGAGGTGCCGCAGGTGAAGCCCTGGGAGAAGGTGTCCGGTCCGCCAGTGCTGCCGCCCCACCTGCTGCAGGTCATCCTCAACAAGGACACACCGCTTTCGGTAAGAACACCTATTCTTTGGGTGGAATTTTTGGAATATAGCTTTAATTTTCCTATTTTCTCCCCTTAAGTGTGAGCCCACATTGCTTCCGGAACCTAACCATGTGATGCTAAACCACTTATACGCCTTGTCCATCAAAGATGGTGTAATGGTTCTCAGTGCTACGCATCGCTACCGTAAGAAGTATGTCACCACCCTGCTCTATAAGCCAATCTAGGCAAAAGGCAGTTGGTATTTTAGCTTTAAGAACTGTTTTTTAATGGGATGATCCCGGCGGAGCCATCAAATCGATTTGTGGAATACCTGCAACAGTCTCGCTTGTCAAATTTATAATATATTTAATAACGAAGTGGAAGTGTTTTATTTTTGTTTATTAAGCGTTGTATTTTTATTAGTAAATATATACGGAACTTGTAAAAGTATAAGATTATTGCATTGTGTCATATATTGTATTTGAATTTACGGCTAGGCTAGGAATCTTACAAGCTTCTTTGCTATTTCAACTTGATATGTCACTAATGTCACGTACTAAGAGTAATTTAAGCAACTACGCATACTGTCGATTTGGTTCGCTTTTCGCTGTTTACTGTTCCCTGTACGCTGCCTTACAAAAATAATATAACAACACTTTGGATTTTGATCAACGTTTCATATCACATGCGTTCGAAATTCTACTTCTTTCGCCGAATCTTATCGGAATACATACGCGGATATCTAAAAAATTTCATGTGGTAACCCTAGTGGACCAACTACCAAATATCTGAGCTGAGGTATGTTCACATTAGCTTCATCTTGTGGTCCAGCTGGCCGGCATCCACCTTCTTGTCGAGCAACAATGGCGATGACGAGGCTAGGGCCACGGTCTCCTTGGCCAAGAAGCGCTCGTGCATCTTGTTAGCGGTGTGCTGGAACTCGCCATCCTCATCGAACAGGGCCTTGGTAAAGTATTCCGTAAACAAACGCCCCATATACTGGTCCTTAGTGGATGGCCACCAGCCTTCGAGGAAACCGATATGGCCGCCTCGCGCCGTGATCACAATCGCCACATGAGTACACTGGTTGGCCGCCTTAATAGGGATGGCGTCCAGCGGCTGGAAAGGATCGTCGGCAGCGCTGAGGCACAGCAGGGGCACCGAGATGTGGTCCAACTTGTTGTGAAGTGTGGCGTCCGAGTAATAGTCGTTGACATGGGCATAACCAAACTGCTTGGCTGTGAAGAGCTCATCGAACTCCTTGATGGTCTTGCAGCGCAAAATTCGTTGAATATCGATGTCCGAGTCCTGATAGATGTCCCGGTAGATGTCCAAGTGATTCCGCAAAGTGCGACAAAGACTACCGGCCAGGTGGCGCCCCAGGAGACTGTTAATCACAGGCTTTTCAATGCTGGCGCTACCCTTGTGGACGTCCCAAGGCACAGAGATAATCTTGGCCGCTGATAGGATGTTCCTGGCTTCGTCGCTCTTGCGGGCCAGATAGTTGCCAAGAATTAGGCCTCCCATCGAAATCCCAGCGGCGCCCATCTTGCATTGTGGCGGCAGAATGCTACGGACATGGTGGATAACCTCACAGAGATCCTCGCAGTTGGCTGCGCAGTAGAGACGAGGCGTCTTCAACTCGATCCCACCGAGACCACGATTGTTGAACACAACAACCCGCATGCCGGCCTGCTGGGCGGCAAAGACTAGGCATTTAATGTACTCCGCCTGGGACTCGCCGGTGAGTCCTGGCAGAATGAGAATACAGGGTGCGTTTTCGTCACACCCCTCCTCCATCCAGTCCAGAGCCACCTCGCCGCCGTCCTTTAGGGGCAGGATCTCACGGCGGTAGTTGACGTGCGGCAGACTTTTCGAGCGCAGCAGGCTCGCCATTACCGTCTGCGCCCGACTCTCCACGCACCAGAAGGTGGGCCAGTACTTGTTCTCCAGAGTCGGCACCTTGCGGATCAGGTACTGTTTGAACGGCCCGTCCGAACAGGCGATAATCGGCCGCTGTAATTATTTATATTAGTAGCTGCTTAGTCACGCGCCAAAGGTGACGCAATCGCATGAGTTACACTCACCTTGACCACCTGGATCAGATAGTACACCACGTAGGCCACCAATGCCATGCCCAGGACATGGAGGCGCGGTAGATTGGATAAGTAAGCATACATCGAGTAGAACATGGCGACGGGCTCCGAGTGCAGGTAACGTACTGACAATTTGGAACACTCTGGCCAGGTCTGGGCGCAAGAGCTGAAAGAGCGGAACAAGCGAACGAGACCGTAAATTAAGTTTATGGCGCAGCAGAATAGTTTTCAAAGCGGGTCTATGAATGAAAATACTGTCGGAAGGGGCTATTTGGGGACTAACAAAGTACAAGGAGGCGTATCTAATCGCGGACGGGCTAATGTATGCACATAGACACTTATTGAACGAGTGGTCGTCCGTATCAGAGGCAGACAACACACGCGCCCTGGACGGGTTCAGGCGGCACTCAATTCGTTAACTTTGGGCGCTTATCGCTCACTCACAGCAGTTCACGTCGGTGGGATGGTCGGTGGATTTGGATGTGGACGTTAAGGTTTTGGTGACTTTGGTGACGTTGGTGACAAACGCCTCTTCCGGCGGACAAGGCGCGGACATCAGCACCCGTGCCTAGCAGCTCGGGCAGGCTACGGTAAATGATGGCCACCTTTGGTGACGGCACGCGAAAAAGGGCGCCCAGCATTTTGTATTTAATTACTACTATTCGGGTGCGGGTGCGGATGCGTGTGCGGGCTGGCTAATTGTGCTACAGTAGTGGCTACAATCGTGTCTAAATGGTCCAATTGTGCCGCCGCCTGGCATTACTTCCCTCAATTTGGGTGCTTACCTTAAAAAAGAGGGTAGAGTAAAAGTATAAGTCAAAATTTAGACAATTGATTTCAAAACCTGTTACGGTACTGTGACACAAATCGAAACTCAACCCGCAGCGGAGGATCTAGTGTTCAGTTGACCCCGGTGTTCTTGGCTTTGTTCGGCGTCATCACGTGCGACCACAAAATCAATGAATAGTGTGTTGATGGGCTATTGATTGGTGGGTGGGCAGTGGGATGCAGGCTTTTCTGCCGTGCCAAGTGTGACGGAATCGAAACAATATATATATTCTATAATATAGACCCGCTTACTTGGTGTAGCTTCTCAAAGGAGTAGGTGTGCAGGTATAGGAACTCTTGGTGGCGAACTGTTTTCAGCACACGCACTTATGTAACCGCATTAAAAGTGTTGTGCATTTTATGAGCAAAAACCTTGGACCAAACGATAATGCGGCAAACTTAAAAACAATCACAAGGAAACCAAACCGACTGCACACAACCAAAATATAAACAATAACAATTTTTAGCGGGAAACTAGCCAGAACGGCCGTTACGCTTCTACAGTGTTGGAAACTTTGAAAGTTTGTCGGCGTTGCCAGAATTTTGGGTAAAACATATATGGCAACGCCGTTCCTATCCATTTCTAGGGTTGAAAAGCGCTAATTTTGTTGTAAAAGTGTTTTTGTTCTGTTTGCTTGCATAAAACTGCGGGTGCCAAGTGAATTATTAATTATTGCACCACCGAAAATGACCGATAATAAGTGATCAGTGGTCCCCCAGTGCGGTCAAGCCAGCGCGAAAAAAAACCAAAATAAAAGATGAATCAGTGACGTCGCGAATCCAACATCTGAGTCGACAAAGAGAAACAGGAGGAAAGTGGTGGTGGTGTGTGGTGTGTGGTGGTCGTGTTGTGTCAGCGTAATCAGTATTTGGCAGTGCGTCGAACGTCCCCAAAGTACACACATAAATAAAAAAAAAACACACGTCTCGCTAACCGAAAAATGTGCTAAGCCTTTCGAAATGGGATCGCGAATCAAGTGAGTATTCAGGCCAGGCTGCGGCAGCTGGGGGCGTTCCGCTCCGCTGAACCTTCTGCTGCCTTCTGGAGCACCCTCTACTCCCACGACCGACCGTGCTAACCCCTGCTTTCCGTCTGCCTGCAGAACCGATGTCAAGAAGCTGTTCGAGTTCTGGTGCGAGGTCGCCCCCACACCGGGCCTGGAAAGGGGCACCAACAACAGGGGCGGAGGACCTGCTGCTCCTCCCGGCGTCATACTGGAGAGCTTCCCCGAAGGATTCCGGGACAAGGAGGTGCTCACCGGTATACCCTCGTTCGCCTATCCCTGCGATCTCTCATTGTACGTATATGTCTTGAATCCTATGCCAATATGCCTTTCGGTTTCCATTTCCGGTCGGTCAGTAGTTGCCTCAGAGAGGGGCGTAGCAGCCACAGAGGCTGACCGCATTTGCGCAAGACCTGCGATCAGACATAGACATAGTCAGACGGACAGTGGGCTCCGCCGTTGGATGAGTCACTCAAAATCAAAATCAAAAAAAAAACAACTACTCGACCCAACCAGTGGCAGCCGCTCTCCGCACCCTTTCCATCGGCTCGGCAGATAGCTTGTCCATGAAACGAATAACCTGTTGTGCCGTTTCGCTTTCGGTGTTTGTTTACACAGCAAGTTCGCGTAATGAACTGAACTGTATTATTATTCAATGGGCTTTGTTTGGAGCGGTTCGATCAGTATTTCCTGGATCGCCTGGAACTATGTACCTGGTTAGTCATCTTGGCTCTTATCTCTGCAGCTGTCCAATGTTACAGCGTTAGCTCATCGCATGATTAGTCTATTGGGGGAAACCAAACATGGAGCGAGAAATTAATTTTTGTTCAAAGTTTGCTTTGCAGATTAAGTTTCCCAACTATGTATGGTTTGACCCGCAGCTTATCGGCGGGTTCCTCGGAAACTACGTAGCATACCGTCATACTGCGACTTACACACACACACACACACCCTCTGTTGTGATAAAGAAAGTCAAGTCCAAGTCAATGCCCAGATAGCCCATGTCTATAATACTTCCCTCCCGTATAAGCTGTGATTGCCTCGCCGCCTGACTTTGCATATCAAATTGAATAATGACACGATCCAAAGCACTTAGATCTAACGACTTTATGTAACCCGGTGGCGAAGAGAAAAAGAGCTCGGTCTGGTCTCCAGGTCTGGCCAAGCCAAAGTCGAGCACAATATGCAAAAACCGTCGCACAATGGGAAGGAAACGTGCCCGGGTAATGATATTGCTGCGTCATTGTCGTTCATGTTGCAAAATTGCGATTTATTCAAATTATTAAATACGATTTCGACACTTATTTCAAAGGAAGTTAAGTAGGAAGAGAGCTAGGGTATCTCTATGGCGAGTATCTCTTTTTAAAAACCCATCGTTTCAAGCGGATGGAACAATAAAAACGACCAGATTCTTATAATTAATTGCCTTGCTTTCGTCACTTTATGACTTGCAGCTGTAAGACTTGAACAGTAGTACTAATATTATCTCATACACTTCTCTAGACTTTGACCCACTAGCCCCTAAAAGGGGTTTATATCTTTTAGCTTTCAAAATCTAAAAATTATATTCTCCTTTTTTCATTAACAGCACCGAGGTTCTAAAGTATTCCTTTGTGCACACCACCGGCGACTCCAAATGGCGCTTCGGCTTCTGCATCCACGTACCCAAGACGAAGACGGCCATGGTGCTGATCACCTACCTGCCCTGGCACGACACCTTCCTGCAACTGCTGCAAGTCCTCTCGGACCTCAAGCGGAATAATCCCAGCGAATTCCGGGCCTTCCTAGCCGAGGCCTATAGCCAAGGTGTTCCCGAATCCGGCGGCAATTTAAAGGTCTTCTACAATGGCGGGCAAAGTGTAAGCTTTTGTGGTTTAAAATATGACATTTTTAAATAATCTAAGGTTTTCTTTCACAGCAATTTGAATTCGTTCGACCGCAACAGTTCCAGTTACCCAACATCTTAAAAAATGTGAGTTTTAAAGAACAAAATTTCTCAAAGAAACTAGATCCTAACTCTTGTCTTTCCAAACAGAACAACCTGAATATGTATTACAGCTTCGTGAAACCCAAGGAGATGATAGAGGTGTTCGCCGCCATGCTCGCCGAGCGACGCATCGTCTTCACCTCCAGGCACCTGGACCGGCTGTCGGCTTGCATCCAGGCAGCGAATGCATTCCTCTATCCCATGGTCTGGCAGCATATATTCATACCGGTGCTACCCTGGGAATTCAAAGACTACCTGGGTGCTCCAATGCCATATCTGATTGGTGTGCCAAAACCAGTGCTCGAAGCCGTCTCCCCCGAGGAACTCGGCGAAGTTGTGATCTTGAACTGTGATAATGAAATACTGGAGAGTCCCTTTGATGATGTTCACAGTCTGCCATCGGAGATTGTCTCCCAGATGAAGAAGCAACTGAACAACAAGCAGGACCACCAGGGCGACGGTGTCTCTAAGATCTTCCTTAACGCACTGGTCCAGCTAATTGGTGGCTATCGGGACGCTGTCGAATATCACGAAACAAGTAAAACCTTTAATCCAAAAAAGTTCATTGAATCTCGGCCAGCGCACCTGCGTCCGTTCCTTGCCAAAATGATGGAGCTGCAGATCTTTGCGCAGTTCATCGACGATCGCCTCAAGATGCTCAACAGCGGCCTCGGCTTCTCCGATGAGTTTGAACTGGAGACCGTTCGGTATGCGGAGAAGAAGAAACGCGGTCGCAACTACGCCCTGATGAAGAGCCTCAAGGACAAGGTAAGCCCCAGTCGAGGAGCTGTCGCGATTCGGCCCGGCTGTTAGTGTAGTCCTCACGATGCCATAAACACCACCACCACCATATACCCACCATGTTGTCTGGCTTGGAAAGGACTGGAATGCGGGCTTGTCATTAGTTAACACAGATCTCTTTCCATGCGCAGACCTGCTAACCGAACTTGGACTACCTATACTCCCACCTTATATTTTATCATCTGATTTGATTTGATCTATTCCACAGTTGATGGGAAAGCGCAGTTTGTCGCGAGTGTATGCTAAGAACTATTATTAGACTGCCAACTATGCCAAAACCACCAAAATCAAATACCAATACCTATATTTAAACGAGTAGAATGTAACTTTCCACATCTTTTTTTCAATGTTAGTTCCAATGATTTTTTATTTGTATGCAAAACCGAGTAATTAACGTCCTAACTAATATCTGCACTGAATTTAAGTTGGCAAGAACTAAAATTCTAAAATAAAAGGCCTATTATATGGTATTCTGGTTCTTAATTTTAAAATCCACTGCCAATTCCTAACAATCCAACTGCAGATATGTTTTATTAACAACCCGTAGTCTTCATTCTGGACTAACCCATTAACACTACTAGGTATTTTGTGAATCCGTATCCGTATTGTGGAACGCACTTTTCGCAGATCGCAGATCTATATCGCCGCCTCGACCTCTCAAGCTCCATTGCCCATGTGATTCCCATTAGACCATTACCATTACCATTACCAGTATCAGTCATTGTCATCGTAGCATTTAAGTGTAGCTAGCTAGCCGTAGCTTAAATAATTCACTGGTTGTTCTCTACATCTCATTCACTCCGTATATCGCCGGTATCTTGTACGTCTCTTTTCCATATATGCCGCTTGGATTGCTCATCTCACACTCGCCGCTCCTCCTCCTCCTCTCTGTGCTTTCTACTTCGATCTGATCTTCTGTGCAGACTAATCCGGCTTATAAGTCTGCCGTCAAATCGGTGAGTGGTCTACCCTCAATGCCCCTCAAGTGTGTCCTGTGTTTTCCCAAAAACGCTTCTGTGGATCCTTACTCTGAAAACAGATATCCTAATCTAATTCTATCACTTTTTAAGGTCAAGGAGGGGTCCAAGGGCATGAAAACCGCCTACAAGGGTCTCAAGACAAAGCTGCGCGAAAACGGAAATCAGTTTGGAGGCACACACTTCCACTTCGGCCTAGGATCACCCAACCACTCGGATCGACCGGACGGTGGCTACGTACGCGGAGGCAAGGCCATTGGAGCCACCCACCATTCGGCGCCCAGTTCGCCGGTGACGAGCAAACGACTCGATGGACTCGGCAGCGGAGTCTCCACGAATGGAAGCTGCAGCAGCTCCGGAGGCAGGGACTCGAGGGACGGGTCATTCCAAAGACGCGGGCCAGTACCGCTGGCCATGTCTAGCTCGAGCAGCCACATTCAGCCGAACGGCTATGGGTACGGCCAGGTGGCTGGTGCTTCTTACGGTCATCATCTCAGTGCGTCTTCTGCTGTTAGCTCGGCGAGCTCGCTCTGCTCATCGTCGGAGATGAACCTCTCGCAGGAGCTGCAGAACCATCCGCTGTTCAAGACGCCGGCCGTGGACCGCAGTGTAAGTAGCTTGGTACGGGCGTACGAGACGCGGCTGCAGCAGCTCCAGTAGCGGCATCTGCAGTCTCCTGCTCACCTGCTTGCCGCAAAGCTACCTCGACCCGTTTATCAATCGTTCACTCATCTCGATGTGCTGTGTATTTATGTTTGTTTCCATGCTCTTCTTGTTTTGTTTCCGTATCTGTGTCGTGTGTGTGTCCTGAACTGAATGTCGCCATCGACCGACCGTCCGTCCCATGTCATGTCATGCCAACACCACACACATCACCACACCACACACTCTGTACTCATCAATTACAACGAACATACTCGTATCACATTTGCACCCACCCCATTCCCAACATCGCCATTGGCCCACGCAGCTTAAGCCAAGCTCAGAACACAGGCGGGGAGGAGCACCACCGGCCAGACCGCCACCGCCGCAGACTGCGCCCGCTTCCTACTACAACCACCCGTACTCGCCAAACTCGACGCATCCCATTGTGGAGACGAAGCCGCCGCGACACACCTCCACACCCACCAGGGCACGCCCGGTTCTGCCCACCGCCGACTCCAACAGCTTTGATAGTCCACCGGACATGCAGTCACCACCGATTCCTCCGCGCAAACAGTGCAGCGTCGTGGCTGCCACTGCCGCGGCCATCAGTGCAGAGATCAGCAAGCTGGAACGCAACTGCTGGCAGGACGAGTCCCCGGAAAACGGTTTCGTTCGCCACTCCAATGCATCCTCGTCCTCGGCGATGTCATCCAGCTCATCGGGAGCCTCCTTTGTGACGGCGGCGTCCACATTCTCGCACCTAAATGTCTCCGATCCGCCGGTGCCCACGCCACGGACCAAGAGAGAGGTACACCTGCACCAGCTGCGGAAATAATTATTAAAAACCCATCCCGGTTGTGGTCTCCCAGTCGAATGCACACTAACACTCATCCGCAGGCTCTCCATATATCCAAACTAGTTATCCTTTAGACTACAGTATTTATTTTAGTTGAAATCTGAGAGAAAGTACTAATTATTTTCATTAATAATGTTATGGGAGGTACTTCTTATAGATTCATCCAAAGCTCTCCAGTATATAACTAGTATTTCTTTGTAGATCTTTTATTTTTTCTCATAGCCATGTCGTAACACTAGTAGATTATCTATTATTTTAGTAACTCTCATTATACCTCATGTAACTAGCATTTTTTACCGCACCCATCTGTAGTCATCACCCGTATTTAAATGCTTGATATTGCTGAATCCAATAACCAATCGCCTTGAGCTTTTTAACAACCCAACCTTTACCCGCCCATCCCACAGCAGCAGCAGCAGCATCATCATCCGCAACAACAGCAGCCACTGGAGGACAGCATGAATGACCTGATATCGCTGGACGATAGCAACAATACCAGCTTCGACCTGGAGGACTTTGATCCTTTGAATCAGAACGCCCGGCCACTACCCCCGTTGGGAAAAGCCTTCGGAAAGAAGTCCAGCACGTTGCCAGCAGGAGTCAACAGCAGTATAGTGAACACAGGATCAGCTGGTGGCGTCAACAATCCACTGTATCCATACTTTGCACCAAAACACATGGCCACGGTGGCCGCTGTGACGGGACGACCGCCACCATTGCCCTCGATGGTTCCACCGCAGATCCAGCTCCAACGCAACACCATTGCCGGTAAGCCGGACGACGACTTCGAGCTGCTCCGCAAGTACGGACTGGACCAGTTCACGCTGAACAACTCGGCGACGGAGAAGCAGCAGCATCTAACCACCGGCAAGGGCATGACCAACTGGACAACGTTCGATTAGAGGAAATATGATACCAAAATATGTGTGATCGATAGAATTTGTTTTTGTAAATAACTAGGAGATAGGCCAGGCGCAGGAATCAAAAGCGATGACACTAATATAGCCCTTAATACCCACTCTATCTGTATCGTAGTCAGTTCTCGTTTAAGTGTGCATCCAAGGATCAGAGTAAATCGCTTCTATTTGTATATAAATGTTTAGTGGCAAGTTACAGCATTTGTTTAAGTTGGTCGCTAATCACCTAACCACTGGACTTCCAAATCAAAAGACCCTCGAGAATCTAGAGTAGCCAGAATCTAAGCCAATTAGCATAACAAATTATTATTTGAAAGATATCAATAAACTACCAATAAATTCAGGAAGATTATTGTCCTTTAGCCTTGTTCTCGGCCATGCAGTTCCGGATGCGGGTGTCCAGGGCTCGGGCGCCCTTCAGGTTAAGCTCTTCGTTGTCCGGCAGCAGTTGGTTGACGCGCTCCACCCAGGCACTGACTCGGGGATACTTTTGCCCATCCACCGGAATCTGCAGCGCCAAGGTCACCAAGGTCGTGTGTATGGAAACATCGGCTACACTGAGCTCGTCACCCACAACAAAGTTTCCGGTTTTCAAGAAGTTTTCCAAATCAGCGTAGGCATTGTGGGCAAGGGCTAAGGATCTCTCATTGAACTCCGATTCTCCTCCGTAAATATTTCGCGCCACAACGTCCTTTACCACCTGGAAGAGGACTCCGTTCTCATAGTGCATGCGATGGTCGATGTGGGCTCGTGTTTTCAAGTCCTTGGGATAAAGACGATCGTCTTTAGCGTACTTTCCCACCATGAAGCATACAATGGCGTGGCTGTCCACATAAACCTCGCCATCAGTGTCCACAAAAACAGGAACCTGGTGCTGAGGATTCAACTGAAAAAAAGGTTGGGTATTAAAATGGATAACCCAAGGTGGGCAATAGAATGACCCTTACCTTAACGAACTCCTCGCTCAAGTGCTCTTTTTTGGAAAAGTCCACAGGCCTAGGGAAGATGTCTTAGTAACAGTACTACTTGGTAACCAATGAAGCTTACTTTAAATCCAAGTCCAGGCCAATTAGTTTGGCCGTAAGGAGGCAAGCCCTGGCTGGAGGGCTAAAAAGAGCGTAGTACAATGTGGGCTTCGACATTCCGCTAAAGAATTTACACAATAACTGACGAGATCAAGGAAAACCTGAAGCCAATTGAATGGACGTAGCTAGAGGGGATTAAAAGGCATATGCTCCAAAAGCAAAACACCTTTCTCTTTATACACTGAAACCAAAAATATTAAGGAGAGAAAATGAACTCACATTCATAGTTCTTTTTTTGAATCTGGAATTTATTATTAAAATTATATAAACATTTATAAATATTTTGTTCTTTATACAAATAATATAATCTGTTTTAATAAATGTAATAATCAAAAATAGTTTATTAAAACAAATAAGAATATTTAATGGACAGATTTTTAATTTAAAAAGAGGATGTCTTATTTAATCCCCCTTGTAACAGTTGTAACCATGTCCATGTGAAACGTTGGAATAACTGGTGTTGCCACCTAGTTGCAATTGTCGCAATGAAATTTCCCCGGCCAACAGCTGATGCCCGGGAAATTCAAAAACTATAAGATAATGATTCCAAATTTATTGTAATTGGAGTTTGTTGGATTAAATCTATAAAATGATTATGTTATAAAATAATTTCTACAAACTACGCGAACAATGAATTTTGGCCGTAAATATGTCTTAACCGACCAAGTCTAATTCTTTGGGATCGCCTATGGATACTGAAGGAGGAGGATCTTTTGAGCGGCGGGCGGCGGGCTAGGGTGAATCTAAAAGATCGATTACGGAACTGTCTTTGTCCTTAGCCGCTATCAATACGTCTTTATCCTCTGCAAGTAAATCAAAAACTTAACTCAATTAAAAACTGAATTCTAAATTAAAATCGGATATAAATTAAAGAGAAACACAACAACCCCGGTTGCCAAATAAAACAACAGCACTTGGTTGAAAATTGTTTAATTATATATATATATATAGATAAAGTACACATCTCCTTGTACATTGATTTCATATTTCTATGTTTCAGATATTTTGGATCCAAAATGAAGGCAATTCAAATCAAAATACGAACAATAAATTTTAGTTTTAGTTTGAATTACGTCCTCATCCATCCATATCTTCTTAAAATACTAGGGGGTCCGCGCTACGGTTTTGAGCTTAAATAATCTTGGGCTGGGGGTGGGGGGAGCAGGTCTTAATAATCTTGATGCCGTGTATAAATATTCGGATTCTTCTATAGAGTTTTGATGAATAAAACGCAAGCCATTGTATATGCCAATACAAATAAAAGTTTAATCATAATTTTCTATGATATTCCACGCAGTTCCAGGCAGCAAACTAATCCACTGTACTACTCGCTTCGTATCCTTAGTTACATAATTTTAAATAACTTAGTAGCTTAAAAGTCGATGCTGCGGCTGGCTGCCGCACTTTCTGTTCTCATCTCTGGTAGGAATACGGATAGGCCCAACTTGCACTGACGTAACTTAACATTAACATCGGATGTAGGTGTAGGATTAGGTTTAGGAGAAGGCTTAATAGTAGTGTTAGTCCATGAGCTCCGGTGTGATGCTCTTGCGGGTCAATTCTATTTCTAACAGGAAATAAATTAATTGCGATTGCCTATGGTAATATCTAATGAATTCTATAATTAGGTTTGTTTGTGTGGTTGGTTGTTGGTTGTGTGTGTGGACTGAGAACCTTCGAAAAGCAGAGTGTAACTCAGAAAAGAAGACACAGGGCAACCTAAGGAAGGATAAAGCGACAACAATCTGGCCGATCAGGAACAGGACCCTCTCCTATAAAACCTGCCTGTAATGCCTGCGTCCTGTAACACAAGAATTGCGAAAGTCAGTTTTTTGTTTTGTTTCTTTAGAGCGCCACAAATGCAAATGAACGTGAATGGAGGTGACATTTGGATGAAGGGACTGCCGAAAAATAGCCTCTGAGGTACGACGATCTGGTCAGGTGTGCCAATGGGGGTGGGGCGACATAAGCAAAAGCAGAGGAAACCATATCAATCAACGCTGCGAGATGTGGGATGCGGGACGTGTGTGATGTACAATGGTGGGATGCGGGGATGTGTGTAGTGCCTATGGGCCGGCATTGTGACCCTGCCCGGAGGACGCCGAGGCCGTGGCGGCAGCAGCAGCCGCAACCGCAGCCAAATCCAACAGTTGGAAGTGCTTTTGATCCGCCACCGCGGCCGCCAGGGACTCCAGAAGAGTGGCATGAACGGCTGCCGCCGCCGCCGGTTGTTCGAGTTGTTCTAGGCCGGGCTGCATCTCTGGCGAGTGTTGTCGGGCCAGCTGGTCGGGGGATTCTGGGTGTATTCGTCGCCGGCAGCATAGATTTTGTTTTTGTAAATGGGACACAACAAAAATAGGAAAATAAAAAACAAAAACAAAACAGAAACAAGGGGAAAAGAGAGAAAAAGAGAAAAGACAAAGAAATTCACAAGTTACTTTGATTAGTTTAGTAGTAATCATTATATTAACATGAGGGGGTGGTGGTGGTGGTTCACACACTAAGGACTGAAATGGTACCGAGGAGTCACAAAATCAACCTACTCTAAGTAGCTACAGGGACTTTAAAAACTTCTCTTATAATTTCGATTACAATTGAATAATTTATTGTTTTTACAGCACAAAATACGTGGGAAAGGAACATAGAACAAAAAGTAATTAACTGCTTCAGGTCTTGGATCCCCTTTCAGGCCTCTGTGGGTCTGGCCTGTGTTTTCTGCAATAATATACAGAAAAAAAAAAAATAAAAAGGAATTACAAGAGACCTGATGACCTTTTTCACCTTTTTTTTTGGGTGAAACAGGAGGACCTACCGTAGACGCATCATTAGTGTCGAGTTAACAGCTTTGTAAATAGGCTCATGATTTACCGGTTTCCTAAAAACAGATGCATCTACAACGGAACGGAGGTCATGAGAAGTCGAAGATGTGTCAGAGCCTTCCTTGTCTAACTAATTTTAAAATAAAAGTCTTGTCTAAACGATCTAACTTGTATCCAGGATTCTAAGTCCCTAATAATAGCTAAAGATTGTCTTAAAAATGTCCAAAAATTTATCTAAAAGCAGGATATAATCATAAAATCTTTAAAAATATAGGAAAATGTCTAAAATTTTAAAAAATAATCACTCCTCTTTTCCTATATACTTTCAAGCTCAAATAATTTAAAAATTTAAAAAACATCTAACAGATATATGCCTAATTATTCCCCAGATCGAGAAGGAAATCGAATAAGAATTAAAATAGAGGACTTATAGAGGTCTTATCTGCCGGAAATGCCTGAAACAAATGGGTTGTTGCGAGCGTGTGATGGTGGATGTGTACGGATGCTTAGATCTAAAATTACAACCTACGGTCTACATTCAGCACTTAATAATTGGATAAAATATTCTTGGCTATACAGAGTAGGTGTTACTTTAATCTGACTTATTGCAAAAATGGATCCAACGTACCGGATTGCTGAGGCTGCTGGGCCGGAGTGTAAGCACGTTGGCCGCTTCCGTTCGACGTGGAACTGGCGACAGCTTGTTTTGCAGGAGGACGACGCTTGGCCAGTGGCATGTCGTCATCGGAATCACTTAACGTCAGATCAACCTAAGTGGTTACGAAAGGATAAAGAACATTGTAATGTTGTTAGAGAGGGTATTCATTTTAAAAAACATACAGTTTCACTGTTCGACGTTGATGTTGGCTGATCATCCGGGACTGGAGCCAAATCACTCTTTACCGGTTTGGCCTCATCCGTGATTAGTTCTTTAATGAAAAATTACAAAATTTATTTAAAAAATTAAGGAAAATGGTTTTAAAACCCTCACCTATGTCGTCCGAGATGACCTCTACTTTTTGAACCGATTTCGAGGGGGTGTCCAAGACCTGCGCTTCGCTCCGCAGACCTGGTGTACTCCACGAGCCATCCTGGTGCAGTTGAATCTCCGTGTCGTCACTTTTGAGAAGCGAGGAACCCAGCACTTCTTGGAAATATCTACAAAAGAGAAATACAATTAATCCACATATCGTGGCATGGTAGAGACATTTACTTACCCGTCTATGACCAGATTGTCATAAATGGCTGGCTTATCGCAGACTGGACAGTTCCAGGTTGGCTTGCGCTCGTTCATTTGCAGGTAGAGACTGGCATCGAAGCACTGGAGATGCGAACAAGTTGAGGCTCGACACGGCAGCAACATTTTCATTTTACCCAGAGGGCAGTTCAGAGATACTTTAAGCATGGTCGTTGCTATTTCGCAGTCTGCATCCTCCGTCAGCTTTTCCTTAACTGCAACAAGTAATTAATTAATTAATAAAGTTCACTTCTTTTATTTTGAAAACATACTTAGTCCACGGGTGTAGTCCGCCGGCTTGACACCTTTAGTCTTCATACGTTGTAGGAGCTGTGCAGAGGTGAGTTTTTTCACCAGATAGACAGCCAGGCAGTAGCTGCGCGTATAATCCGGACACCACTGCACCATTATTGTGTTTGTGACGGTTGGCGACAGCTTTACATTAGAGGTTACGTTAACGGGACGCGGAGGACGCTTTGGCTCCACATTAGGCCGGTTTGTAGGAATGACATTCTACGGAGAAGGATACAAGATGTGTAAGCTGGCACAGTTGAATAGAATGGAATACTTACAGGCAGCTGGCACAGCTTGTTGTTCACCTTGACGTTCACGTTCGGCGGAAAGCAATCCTCCTGCTCGCACGAGGTCTCTACTAAGCAAAACCGCAGTTGCACCTGGATGGCGTGCTCTACTTTGGAACTATTGCGGATGTCACGATTGGAGGCTATCTCGGTGGCCTGCTGCGGCGTTAGTGTAAAGTAGAAAGGCACCTCTTGGACACGCTGAGTGTTGCGAGGCACCAGCGTCGAAGGCTTTATCAGTGTACCGAGCACATCGTAAAAGGCGAGCTTCTTCAACCGAACGTCCGGATGGATGGGAAGCTGGCTGTTGATACTGTGTGCGTGTAGAAACGGTGCTCCGCCGACCACGGGTATCTGAGCACCCGGCACCTGCCCGCCAGGACCACCGCCAACCAGGCTGCCCACTACGGAGTTGGGCTGCACGGCAGGCGGTAGCTGCATGTGCGAATACATTCTGGTTGGATCTAAGTACTGCAGCGTGGCGCTTTGTTCTTGCACGGATTGAGCGTAAACTTCCTGCACCTTTGGGGCGAGCAGTTCCAAGTTAGTTCGCAGAAACGAGAGGATGCGTGCCTGCAGATCGGTTTTTCGGCCAGCGAAGGAGATGTTCAGAAACGATAAGATTTTTTGCAGCTCTACCACTCGTAGCATCTGCACCATCTGCTCACATTCCTGAAAAGAAAATCAAAAATAAACAAAAGTTAATAAAACTTTTCCTCGAAATCGAGGGAATTTGCACCAAGCGTTCCCAAACACACACACACACACACGCAGACAAACACAGACACACTCGCGCAAACCAGCGTTTGAGACTGCAAATAGCGGATATTTTCGCACGTAAGTGCGTGTATATACACGCCTTGGCGTGTCTCCGGCGTGGACGGTAAAAAAAACTCACGTTAGCAAAATTAATGTCTTGATACAAGCAAGCCTTGAATTAATCGGAACTCTTTTCTTTCGGTTGTCGTTTGACACTGTCGCTCAAAACTGACAGGTTTGTCGCATGCCTCTTAGATTCATTACCTAGCTGGTGGAACATGGCGTTCAATGAAACTGCTTCATTTTGTCTGCCGCTTCGATTCAAATCAGTGCTCCAAATGTCCTTAAGATAAAGATACGGTATTTAATCATAAAAAACAAGTAGGCTTTCTTTTTTGGAACCCCTATCTGAACAACTGCAGAAATGCCTTTTTTTTTGTCACACAATTTTGTTTTGTCCGAAGAAATATGGCGGATAGCAGTGTTGCGCAGCGCTACTTTTCCACTGGGTTGCCGTTCCTCCCGGGCGTCTGGACGACACTGCTACACTGTTTGCTCACTGGTCACTCTGCTTATCAATTACCCAAATAATGGAAAATTGTTTTGAGCCACTAATGAATTAACGGAAAAGGGGGGACGCACCTTGTATTTGCTCGTATCAAAGGTGCTCAGTGCTGAGACCGCAGACGATGATGATTGCTGGCCGGCGATGTTGGAAGTTGCGGCATTTTCCGCCTGCGTGCGAGCCGTCTGCGAGCGGGTCTTTCGCATTACTGTTATTTTCTTTCTTCGGCGGAGTTACGCAGTCAGCAAAGCTTGCATACACGAGAGCATTTGCCTGGGACGCGTTCCACACAAAAAAATTAATAATTTAAGCGCGAATAAACAACTTTCTGAATTCGTCACAAAATTTTACGCGGCGTCGCGAACAGCGCGACTAGGGTTGTCAAACAATCGATCGCAGACTACCTGAAAGGGGCTAACGCAATTCCCAAAAATGCACTAACGCGTCTTATTAACACACTAACGGGTAACCGGAAAACAATTTGTCCGTTATTATATTCCTAATTCGCTAGGCATTTATTTAATTGTACAAATATGGGTCTAACTATGCAATCCAGTATAAAAGGCGGCCTACGCTTTGCGCCGGCCTAAAAGAAGTCCATGTCCCCACAGTTCACGTCCAGAAAGTCATCATCGTACCTGACCAGATCCTGTGTCGCTGCCGCTGCCTTCGACGTGGAAGGCAGATCGGCACTATCGACGAGGTTGATGTTGATCTCGTGAGCTTTATACCCCGGACTGTCATGCTCTTGTCCAGCTCCAACAGGGGACGGCGGCGGGTTGGACACTATTCGAAGATAGTTTATTAGTGACAGAATTATTGCTTCGTTTTTCATGGCTTACGGCTTCCCGGCTGGGTTTCGGTACGTAGTTCACCGCTCTGCATGTACAGGTCCTTTCGCTGGCTTAGGGCCGGAAGTTCCGTGCTTTGTTCGCTCAGGCACTTCTTCAGTTCTTCTACTTTGCGATCCCGCATCATTGTCTCAATTTGCTTTCGCGATTTGAGCAGATTCTGCCGGTCTTCACTAAAAATAGACTTTTGCTGCTCCTGCGTGATGCTGTTATTGTGTTTCAGAAGGAATAAGAATACACCACCAGGTGTACGTCTCCGTTTTCCATTCTATTAAAGGTATCAAAATAATTTTTTGTAGTTTTATTATAAAACTAACTTACTTTGATCATCATGCCACCATCGGCTTCGATGCGCTGGGTTTCCTTGTATAGTTCCAGAGGCAAATCCATGCCAAGCACCTCGACAACTCGAACTAGTCACAAAGAAATTAATACACATAAACTTTAATCGCTTACAAAGCTTACCCAATAATTCGTCTTTCTCTTCATACAGTTTGCTAGCCATTTCCGTCGCTACGTCAGACGGATCTCGTCCAGTCACATCTTTTAGGTCAAGTATGTGTCTGGGCTCACAGGAATCCGAGGAGCCGCTGGCGGAGGAAGTTGCACGCCGCGAACGATGGCTCAGTCGGCTCTTCACCGATCCACGAGCCGAATACTCTTCTGTGGGGCGACTGGAGAGCCGCCCCCTCTTGTGGGCAGGGTGCGAAGAGTCTCCCCCATCTTCTGAAGAGTTCGAAAGCCTCCGTTTCATTGTGTGCCCTCCGTTAAGCCGGTACCGTAGAGAAAAGTCATAGTTCTCCACATTTCTGTCTGTGCCGCTTCGAGTAACGTCACATCCGCGCATGTTTTCGCTGAGGGCTTCCTCCTGCAGAGCTGCAGTCCAGACGTTGTATTTCCTAAATCGTGCCCGATTTGGTTGCATTTCGGCATCTGCCGGCGAAACTCGGCGCATAACCGTGCGTCGAATACGTTTTTTCCGTTTCTTAGGACCTCCCGACTCTGTATCCGTGCGAATCTTCTTTATGCAGCCGTCCTCTGAGGACTCGGCTGAAGATGATTCACTGTTAGTCTGCGATTCTTCCTCCAGAGCCGTCTGAATATGATGGCAGGTGGTGAGGGGGCTGGCTTTCTCGGCACCTGCAGGGCGCTGCAGTGGCGTATAAACTCCGTCATCGTCGCTATCCGAGAGCTTAAAATTCCAGAATTAAGTTAACAATTCAACGATCTAACTGCGTGTTACCTCGCCGTCCTCCAGATCAATGTCATTCGATTGTAGCTCCATCATTTTTTCCTGGCAAGAGAAAATTAATTCTTTGACAGTGGCTTGCCGAGGGTGCTGGAAAACGCCCAAAGCGCATCGGCAACAGCTGTTTGTGCAACACTGCGGATCAGTGCGGCCGCAGATTTTTAGAAAATGTATTTTAAGTCTTTATTTAATGAATACATCTTCTGCGAGTAATTAAAATTGATTAAGATACTAATTTATTTGAGAACCAGTACTTTAGGCTTTATTATTGTCAAATCCCATTTCTTTTAGTTCAAAAACATTCGGTATTTTTACCTTTTCCATAACGGGTCACTCTCGACACGTGCATTGGATTTGGACGAACGTGGTTGGAAATAAAAAGATATAAGGCGTAATTTTCTCGGCTCACAATGGTGCGGCCTAACAATAACCAGCTGCCAGAGAACCTGCCGCAGCTGCAGAATCTGATCAAGCGGGACCCAGAATCGTACAGTGATGAGTTCCACATACAGTACCAGCACTTCCTCAGCCTGTTGGAGGTGTTCGCCCTTAATCCTGGCGAGGAGAACAAATCTCTGGACGACATTGTGATGTTCATCGCTCAGGTGGCGCAATGCTATCCAAAAGTGTGCGAAGAGTTTCCCAAGCGCCTGTCTGACCTTTTGAAGAACTACGCCACCGTTCTGGATCCCGCCATGAGAAATTGTTTCGTCAAGGCCCTGATCCTGTTGAGAAATAAAAATCTTGTGCCTGCTTTGGATATACTGGAGTTGTTTTTCCAGCTTCTACGCTGTCCGGACAAGAATCTGCGCACCTTCCTGCAGACCCACATCGTCACTGACATCAAGAACATGAACGCTAAGCATAAGGACATGAAGCTAAACTCGGTAGGACTGGGAGCTACTAGTTTCGTGTGCATCAACTAACTAATCTTTCCTTTTGCAGAGTCTTCAGGCATTTATGTACTCCATGCTTAAAGACGCCAATCCCAAAGCAGCCAAAATGTCGGCGGATATTATGATTGAGCTCTACAAGAAAAACATTTGGAACGATGCCAAGACGGTGAACGTTATTGCAACAGTTGGTTGCTTCTCGAAAGTAACCAAAGTTCTGGTTACCTCCTTAAAGTTTTTCCTCGGTCATGACGAAGAAGAGGAGGAGTCCGACTCCGACAGCGAAAATGAGGTTGATCTGAAGGGAGCTTTGATGGCCAACAGAGTCAACAAGAAGACCAAGAAGCGACAAAAGCAGTTGGCGCAGATCAAGAAGCAGGCGGTTAAGGCCCAAAAGAAGAAGAAGAATGCGCCGGCTTTTAACTTTTCCGGCATTCATCTGGTGCACAATCCCCAGGGGATGGCCGAGGGCCTGTTTAAGCAGTTGCAAGGCAGTAATGAGAGATTCGAAGTGAAACTAATGCATCTTGATGTGATATCCAGGCTAATCGGCATCCACGAGCTGTTCCTTTTCGGTTTCTATCCGTATATAACGCGCTTCCTGCAGCCACACCAGCGTCAGGTGACCCGTGTCTTACAATTTGCCGCTCAGGCGTCCCACGAACTAGTCCCTGGAGACATCATCGAGCCCATCTTGAAGACAATAGCCAACAACTTCATTACGGAGCGCAACTCCAGTGATGTAATGGCAATTGGCTTGAACGCTACCCGCGAGATCTGTATGCGCTGTCCGCTGGCCATGGGTGAGGATTTGCTGCAAGATCTGGCCATGTATAAGACCTATAAGGAGAAGTCTGTGATGATGGCCGCTCGCTCCCTCATCACACTCTACCGTGAGCATCTGCCGGCCCTTCTTCACAAGAAGGATCGCGGTCGTCAGACCGAGGCCCAGGCCGAGCGGAAGGTTCGCGCCTATGGTGAACGAGAAGTACACGATACGGTGCTTGGTGCCGAAGCCTTGCTCAAAGATTCCAAAACCATCGATATTGAAAGCGATGAAGACACTGACTCCAATGATGGGGAGTGGGTTAACGTGACGCACAGTGATGGTGAGGGAGGACCAGATGTTGACGACGACGATGAGGAGGAAGATGAAGATGACGAGGAAGAGGACGACGAAGAGGATGAAGGCAATAGCGACGAGGAGGACTCTAATTCGGACGAGGGAGTTGGAAGCGGCGAGGAGGCTGACAAGACGAAAAAGCAGAAGGCAGACCTCAAGATTCTAAACCAGAAAGAGGCTGCTCAGGAGCTAGCTCTGACTCGAATCTTCACGGATGAGGACTTCAAGCGAATTAATGCGGCCAACCTCAAGAAAACAGTTACCAGTGCCCGGAAGCGACCACTGGAGCAGGACCGTGCCGAGTTCGTCAAACTAAACAGCATCGAAATGATTTATAAGAAACGCAAGCACGACAAGGAGTCGCGTCTCGAGACAGTGCAGGCGGGACGAAAGGATCGCGAGCGGTTCGGCTGGAAGGATGGCCGAGTTAATGAAAATTGCTCCAAGACGAATCGCGAAAAGAGGAAAACCAAGAACTTTGGCATGCTGCGGCACAAGGCTCGCTCCAAGGTGAAGAAGAGCTTCAAGGACAAGCAGCAGGCTCTGCGGAAACACTTGCTGCACCAAAAGAAGATGAAATAGATCAATACGATTTCAACTACACAGCAATGTGTAGTTTTTTATAATAGTTAAGATACATTTTATACAATTTGTAATTAAACTTGTAGAGTTTAAAATACCTTTTTATTTCCATTCATATCGGTGATTCCTATGCATTAATCTATGTATTTAAAATGAATTGGTGTCGTCTGAGAGGCCTGTTTATCTGCGTCGCTTGTCCGACTTTTTCACACGTTTGGGTCCCTTGACGAAGCACCAGTCCACTTGGATGGTCTGTCCCATGATTTCGGCCCCGTTGAGAGCCTCTTTAGCGGCCAGTGCCTGCTTGTGTGTTTCGTACTCCACGAGAGCGTAGCCTTTGGAGAAACCGGTGCGGCGATCCAGATTAAGGTGGATGTTCTTGATTTCTCCATAGTCGCAGAACTTCTCCTGGATCTCGTCTTCTTGGGCCTCCTCGTGGATGGATGTCACAAACAGAATCCAACCCTCGACAGATCGCTGTGGACCTGGTTCCTGTTCGTCATCGTCCTCGTTGCGGACACGCTCGTAGCTGTGGATAGCCTCTCGGGTGTTGCTTTCACCGCCAAAACCACGTCCCTTGCGATGCTTGGCCTTTTCCTTCAAGCGCACTATGCCCTCTGTTTTGAAAGAAGGGTGCACAGTAGCGGCGTGGGAGGGGAAATAGAAAGCATGAGCCGGGTTCTCTTGTTTGGTTAAAATTTATGAAGCCCACTTACGGTCACCGTCCTCATCTACTTCGAACTCCTCAGCGTTATCAATATCCAGCACATCAGCCATGATTTTAGGTGAAAATACAAGCTAGGTAATCCGAATAAATGTTATTTTCGCGTCCGCCGCAAAAAACTGTCAGGGATGGAGAAAAGTGGTGGTAAACGCTGGTAAAAATAAAATTAGTAAGTGTTGGTAAACGTGAAGATGTTTTAGCGGGTTTTTGCAATTTTAGCCATTTTTTGAGTTAAAATTTTTTTAGTATTTTAGTATTTTTTAATATTAGTTGGAAAACTTAAAAAACCCGGAGTAATATACAAAAATGAACAGTTAAATATGATGAAAATATGCTTTTAAGAAAGAGATTTAAAATAGTTGAAAATTTGTTAAGGGTTTGGGAGTACATGAGTAAAAGTTTTTTGTCCTATAGTTTTCTACTTTGGATCTAAAATTTAGATTATAATTATAAAATAAACAAATATTTCTGGTTTAAATTAAAAAATAACTACAATGGGATTCCTTCAATCTATATTTTTCCAATGGTGTATAATCGAGCGAAGTTTAATACCGTTGTTGAAAACTGATTCAAAAAACTTTTCCATTTTTTGGTTCAGAGTTTAAAAATTAAAAAAATAGAAAGAATATTTTATTTAGACAAGAGGACAGATTGAGGATACACTCTAATTAAAATTACTTGAGAGATAATAAATCTAAAACCAAACAAAGAGCCGCCCCCGATCTTAACACCAGAATAAAGGGACAACAGTAGCACACCCACATCCGCACACACACACAAACAGAAATCAGGATCTGCTGGCAGTAGATCAGATCATCATTAACGTTTGCGCAAATCCTTGAGGCGCCGTCGGCGAGCTACTGTATTCCTGAATAAGGATGCGGATGCCTAGCTCCTTTAAACAGGGCGTTAATTACTCGAACGCTGTCTCTGCCCTCGGCCCTGCAGATCTGCGCTTTAAGATTTCCCCGAGTGCCGAAAGTATGCGCCTCACTGCATTTCTATTTCCATTCCCATTCCCATCTCCATTTCCATTTTCCTTTGATTATTTTCCTAATCTGTGGCACTGCGATGGAAGGAACTTGATAAGCTGAAACTGATACTTCTGCTCTCTTTTCTGTGGAGTGCATTTTCCTTTGAGCGCCCGTCCAGCCACCCGGGCAGGTCTCTTTAAGGACTCATCAGGATTCAGGGGGGGGCCTACGACGAGGCAGGTGGCACAAAATGCAACTGCAACTTCAGGAACTTTCTAACGGTATCTTGGCGTGACGGCGGCAATTTGCAATCAGCCTGGCAGAGCCTTTCAGTTGGGGTCTATCTGTCCCGTTTAGTCGCGAATCCTGTCCTTGTTTTTAGTTTCTAATCAAACATTATGGAAGTATCCTTTCTCCTCTCTCCGTGCTCCGTTCGCCGTTGCTCACTTTACAGTTTGAAACTTCGGATTCCCATTTGGCGGCTAATTTAAAAACTTTTCTTATCAGTTGATGAAATCTAAAATTGCATTTTTATGGCACTTCCTCTGCATGTTCGCGCTCTTCCGTTCTTCCGTCCGCTCCCTTTTTATTGTCCTTTGGCCTCGACGAATGTGGTACCCGCCCATCGACACTTTCGTTTGAAAAAGTTGCCCATTTATTGGGTTTGATGAATGCAAATACCAATATCAGGACGCAGGAACTTTGTTATCCTCATTATGGCTTTGTGCCACATACGGTAGGATGAGAATTAGGATCGTCCTGCAATTAGGATGGAGTAGAAAAGGACTGACTTAAATCACAATACCGAGCTGATTGAATTACACATTTCTCAGGCAATTAAAAGTCACCGAATATCACTGACAAATGCCAGCAATTCTTAGGGTTTCTTCGGTGGATCCTTGGAATCTGAAATCAATTAGAGATTTCATTGTTTTGCCGAACTAACGAACTACCGAACCACTGACCCCTTGACCCTTTGGCCTTGTTAGGGGTTGTCCGAAATTGGGCCACGTCTTGTCTTACCTTCCTCTCATCCGATCATTTCTTCATCTTCAGTGACAAGGGTTCAGACATCGAATGTCTGTCTGACTGACTGTCTGGCTACCTGATGGACCTACTCGAGCAACGAGCGGCAGCTGTCCCCTGGGGCCACGCCCACTGGCAAATGAGATCGCCCACTTATGCAAATTTAATTAGCAGCAACTAAGCGCAAAAGCGATCGTGAGTTATGAGTGAGTCCCCACAGCTAACCCCCTGGGTAAGGTCCCCCCAACAAATGTGCTCGATCAGGCGCTCATAAATCAATTTAAATGGCCATCTCAGCGAGCAGGAGTGCAACTGCAGGCGTGACGGTGAATGTCTGAAATTGTCTGTAATTATAGTGAAAACACTTGGCACACACACAGCACTCCCCCAGCGAAATTGATTTAAAATATATACTCTTGCCAACATCGTGCCGACCGGGGACCGACCGGCACAGTACGAGGAACGTGTGGCCATAACTCAAAATTTATGTCTTTTGAAATTATTTTAATGTCTCTAATGGAACTCCCCATCTACGGACCCCCAATAGACAGAGATCAAGGGATCTGAAGCTCCTAGTCATGTTAGTTGGGCAGGAACTCATCCGGAGATTGTATGTTTCTCAAGACCAGAGTATCTTTAAAAACTTAAGACTAGAAAATATATAACTCAACTTAAGGGTAATACCAATTAAGAAGTTATCATTGCTGAGAACTTGTTGGTATGCAAAGTGGGAGTCATTTTACATTGATCTTAACTTCATCTGGAGCGATAAACAAGCAACCCAGTCTGAGAACTCTCCTGGCCAGTCGGTAGTTTATGCAACTATTTATTTGGTTTCATGTCGAGCATTGGTGTAAAGGCCCAAATGTCCAACTACAACATCGATTACAAGATCCCATGCCGGGATGTCGTGATGCTGGGATGCAGAGAATCCCCAACCGTGCTGAGGGGCACGAGTCTGCATCGTCTGTGATTGAGATGGGTTGATATGGGTTTCCATTTCTGATCTGAAGTGCTTAGGCTTGCCATTCCCTGCCCAACTGACCCTCCTCCAGGGGTCAGCAATGCAAACAAAATTGCATCCAATCTCAATCTTTGCCACTTTGCCACCTTCTCGGCGTAGTGCCACCTGCGTGGCTTAATAAATAAATTCGCCAACAACATGGACTAGGTAGAGACACCTCCACTCCACCACCACCTTCGAAATGATACGAAAACAAATTGATATTGGCAAGTCGCTTGTTGAACGCTAATTTATTAACCAGCCGACCGGTGAGCCTAGAATTTTAATTGAATATTAACACCTTTGGCAGAGGATCTCCCGGGAATCGGGGCCAGTGGTCAAGTGCCGCGAGCGTTGCGCACAATTCAATTTTTGTGTGTCTTTGTGGCATTGATTTATGCCAAAGTTTGGGTCCTACACGACCCAAGGGGCATGTGTGGGTTTCCAGAAACCAATTCTGGTAGCGAGAGGAAATTGGTTATTTATAAGTGTCAGCAATTGATTAAATTTTTGCGTATGGCCAGGCCCCTGTGAAGTATTTTAAATCAAATCGATTGCAAGATATCACCTTAGACTCTATCTTAAAACCTAGAAAGTTACGTGATCTTGACTCCTCGATGACCACCCGCGATCCGGACACTAAACGTGGCAGCTCCACGAACCGTATCTGTAAATGGGACAACCGCCTGCTGGGTTGCGTGCCTCAAGCTCATTTCACAAGTCCCATGGTTCTGAAGCAAAGTGCAAATTGTTTTTAAACTGTTTAATAAATAGGAAAATTATTTAAATATTTCTGACCATCGGTTAGCAGGATCTCCAAGCTGAAAGTAAGAATCGTAATCTCGGCGCTGAGATCAGAACGCGATCGGGCGAATTCCGCACCATCAGTAAACTTCGGAAGGCTGGGCGCTATTATTTATTGACACTCGAAACCGAGGGGAAGATGAGCTTCTTCATTCGATGTAGTGAAGGAGAGGGAGCTGGAGCTGGAGCGGGAGGCCTGGATTGTGGCAGGGTCCGAGGCGTCGCCGTTTGTGACAGCAGCTGGTGTCGGCATTCCAGGCACCTTCTTCCAGTTTTTATCTCTGCACGCGACTCACGGTCTCAGGGAGGTGGGATCGGTGGCGTGAATCCCAGAACTGGGACGGGGCATGGGACGAAGGGGACCCAGACCGCCCGTTTGGCTCCTCGACACTCTACTCGGCTGTTTGATTTATGCTCCCGTAATTGTTGGTTTAAACGTTTTTGCACAGTGTCCCAGTTGGTGGCAAGGAGGCGATGCGACGGGGCAGCCATCCAGCCGCAGACACTACGTTATGACACCCAAGCATAATATAAAGCATTTCCAGGGTTGTCGATCTATATCGGATTAAGTGCCAGCAAGATAAATACTAAATGGGAAACAACTAAATATACCAACTTGTACTGTAAAGTTTAAAGCTAAGGCAACACTACGTATGAGTGATACACTTTCAGATCTATTGTTGCATACTTAAGAGGGTAAGATATTAAGATAGTATCTCTTAAATTTTATAATCAAATTACAAACTTTTTTAAGGTAATTATCCAGCTGATTCTTTAAACTCCTGACAACCCTAATCGGCGTCTATCTCGGCCACAAACATACATATCCATAGTGCTGGCTTTAAATTTCAGCTTCGGCTCAGACTTTTCACGTCACACCCCCGGGACCACCTTGCAGCTGCCGCGTTCGCTTATTTTCGTTCGTTTGTCATCATTTTTTCAATAAATTTCAATTTCCAGGTTGCGCCGACCCCCGAGAGGTGAAGGGATCTGTGGCGGCGTGGAGGGAGAAGCCCGTATCGTATCGTATCCTTCGACCACGGGGACCGCCTGTGAAATCTGAAGTGTAAAATTGATTTAAATGGCTCGTGAGTGAAGCAGATAATTTTCAGTTGTCAGATGCTTGTAATATTTATGTGGCAGCGATTATTATCCTCCGCCCGTGCCCTCGTTTCGATTCCCACAGAGGCTCTGAGGCTGCCCAGCCCCGCGATCGTTTAATGTTACCTACGCGTGAAAATTACTTACTTGTCGGTCGCTGCCCCTTCCACCTGGCACCCGAGGCAGCACTTAACTCATTTTTAATATGAATAATTGTGGCAAATTACAAGGCAATTGCATATGCAT